TATCTACAAGTGGTGATTGAGGTGCCTATGTCAAAATGCAATAAAAACTACGATGAACCGCCGGTCATTCCAAGCAAGTCAGCAACCTGTGCAATCATCCGCCAACCACCACTACTGGGAGTGGTGGAGGTAGTCAAAATGTTCCGTAGCTGGAACCTTACGTAAAAACGTCGTTATCCTGACCTCCCAAATAACATAGTCTGACGAATCAGTTGATGAGGTCATGAATCTTCATCGGCTGAGATGGTTGGGCCACGTTTAACACATACCCAACCATTGATTACCGCAACGTACTATGCTGACTAGTATTGGCAATAGTTCTAAGAAAGTTAGGGGCGACCAAACCAAAACATGGCATCAGTGCTTGAAGTCACTGACTCCTAGTCTGAGCCATGTTGGTAGATGCAGACTACTTGGTTGGTGTCCTTGTGACTATCGTAACCAGTGGTTGGAATCTCTAAGTGACACAGCTCAGAATTGATCACAATGGCGCAGGTGTATACACTCTTTATCTTCCCCCCTTAAACCTTAAGATTAAAATTGCTTCATATCTGTCTTTCTTCCTTTACTATATCCTTATATACAATCTTTCTTTTATATATTATCACCACTACTTCTATGAATTAAGTGTTCATTTTGTTGTGTTAATAAGTTAGGTATGGCAACTTGGACCGATGCATAAATGTGCCTGATAGTTCTACATTGTAGCTAACTCACTGACACAACTTAAAAGTTTAACACTTGAACCTTATACCTTTAATTAGTAAATTTGATTTAGTTTAAATCTTGATGTTTTGTTTGTTTATTTGTTTTTCTTCTAAATTTTCAATTAATTTTTCTTTGTTTAGAATTACATGGGTGGATTCATGACTGTTTTGTTTTATTTATACCAGTATTATATGTTAGTATAATCTATTTACAATTGATCTACATCATTATTGTAATACACCATGATGTTTGTTTCTAACTAGTCAGTTTACAAAGAAAAAAAAACATTCGAAAATTTATTCATCTAATTTTAAGCAAACTGATTGTTCATCAGGTTCTGTTCTCTATTTGTGTGTATTTACGCAAAATTAGTATTGTATACAGCCACCGAATGACCTGGTATGGCTGAGAGTAAGAAGAGCCCACCCTCTCTTGAAATGCTCACAAGGCCACATGTATACAGCCTCTGCTAGGGAAGTCCTTACTCACTGCTTTCTGGTGGCAGGGGTTTTGTTTACTGGTCTGGCGCTTAACCCGGGTTGATGGACACGGAAATTCCACCTAGCCGTGTTGGAAAAACTCTGATTCTAAACCAATGGTGCACATGGGCTCCAGTATCCTGAAGGAACAAATGGCGTATGAATCAATCGTTGGTCACCGGCTACCATGGGACTGCATCTCTTCACGATGTTCCACTGCCTTGTGTTTCAGATCTTTAGGTCAAAGGCTCCGGGTGTGGCCCCCATAAAAACCATCTGCTTCAGTTTGGGTATCCGGGCAGTATCATAGCCCTCACACAAATCAAATGAGATTTGTGTGGTGCATATGTATCTGGTGCCCCTTTCTACCAATATTTATGTGTTCAAATAATAATAAAGTATTGTATACATTTTTGAGAATTGAATGAATATGTTGTTCCAAATTAATTTATTTTATCTAATTATATTTGTCTCTACAAAGAAAATGTTGTAGGATATTTAAGATGTGTTTAACAGTAGAATATGGGATGGCTCATTTTTGTTTTGAATTTTTCATCTGGATGTACTTTCATCTCAGAGTTAATGTTCATTCTAGAACTCAAACCTGACACTATTTACTTTAAACGCGATCGCATTATTCATATAGTTATTGAATCCAGATAATCAATCATTTGTATCATATTACATCCAGTTGATAAGTCTCAAATAAGATGGAATATACTTTCTGGATTTCACTGCTGATCAGATTTCATCTATTCTATATCAACTTGTGTCCTAGTGGCTATACCTAGGCAATCCGCATGCGATACATATGTGCCAACTAAGACTGATTAAATTTCAGTTAAAAGTGTTAACAACGGGATACTTGGAACCATTTCAAATTGAATTAGAGTAAACGTCAGTTTAGAGAGAAGGATTCTTTTCAGTTGGTTAAATTTGTTCATAGTCTATTTATGTTTAAAAAGTGTGTACATAGAACAGGAAAAATGTAACTAGTTATTAGTTATATTCTAATGATTGTTATAGTTAACATCATAAACTGACCTTTGTCAGAAAATTAGTTGAAACTATGAGAGACTAAACATATATTTCATCTTAATATGAGGCTCATCCGCACCGCTAATCTACTATCCGACTTCAAGAGATCAGACCCAAAACACTTAAGCCTTGAGGTGAGCGTTTTCCTGTTTAAATCATTAAGTCGGCACCCAATTGTTTATGTGTTCAACTTTGTCCAATTCTGTTGATTCCCTTGCCTGATTCTAATTAGAAATACTTATCTAAACTATATTTTAAACGATATGGATTACTAGTATATTGACTAAGAACTAGACAAAGAATCAATATAACACTGATACCAAGATAAGCCTCAGTCATCTTAGAGAGATATATCTATCCGTTTTACTTCAGAGTACATCAGAAAACAACGATAGAGTCATTACTGAGTTGTTTATATTATGTATATGTATGTATGTGTATATATTATGTAATAAGTCATGGATTATTCTGTTAATTTTGCAATACATTAGAAGACACTGCAACCTACGCTATAGACCCAGTCATTCATAGAAGTTATGAGGCGGTAGTTGGTAGGAAACTCTCTTTAATCTAGGTTTCGTCATATTTGGCACTCATCAGCAAGGTGTGTTTTTGTACTTTTGAGGATACCCATATTTCTTGTTTAATTCGACCCCGTTTCATTCAACTTCACAGTCAGAGATGGTATTATCATGTTTTATTGGACGGCAACTGAAGGGTTGTAGGACTGAGATGTATTTACGATTGATTGATAAAATCTGGATGATATGGGATTTAATTCTCCAGGAAGTATCGGTTCCCTTAAAGTTACAGCTACGCTTTGCTGACGGACACCGGATGGCACGAAACTTCGGTCTAGGGTTTCTTGTTGACTACCTCCAACTACTACTTTACACTTCATTATAGTGCATGCGATGTTAGGTTACTTAGACTTGATCGACACTAAGAAAGAATTGAAATTCATGACATTGGTCACTACTCAGTGATAAACCAACTGTATATAGAAGTTATGTTTAAACTTTTGGAAAAAGAAGAAAGTTTAAAGCAGTTTAGCTCAATAGCACAATAACTTTCTTTCATTGGTTGCACTTTTATTGATTCAATAAACAAATAATTAAACAGTGAGGAATATTGAATTCTTTGTCAATTTTCAACATACTGAACTCCTGTGGTGCATGCTACTTATGTTGGTAGACATACGTAGTATGACACACTAATCAGAAGAAAAATGCATGGTAGCAGAAGATTAAAAAGAACGGAGAATGATTGTTATGGAAACAAAGGAACAATTAAGTTCGAATTAACTGAGTGATATTTTGCAAATGAAGTACTGTTATATCATATAGCCGAGTGGATGCCCTGTTAATTGTATGACGTGATTAGATAGCCAATCAGAGAGCAGTGAATTATCGATTGGAATAGTGATACACAAAAACCGTACGAGCAGTCTAGAGTACGTATCAGTTCTGCTTTCTGCCTAGCCCAGTCAGTTAAGTCCAGAACAGTTTCTGCGGTATGAATCATTTAGCCAAATGTACCTGTGAATGCGGGAGGCAGTCATTAATAGACTAGGGATAACTCAAGAATGGTAAATCGTATAAGGATAGTCTATAAGTCAAAATAAAGCTTATAATAAGGGGAAGATGAGTATGAACAGCTTAGTTATTTAGCAATTATACGATAGCAAGTATTAGCATAATACTGGGCCACAAATAGATGCCAAAGTTACCATTCACTATTGTTATCGGGAAATATCAAGTACTTACTGTATGATTCTTAGATTTTAGTAAAACATTCTGTAATTTTGTTTTCAAATATACTTGGTTGTCCCCCGCTTATGTTCACGTTCACTACGGTATCACTAGATTTCACACCTCTGGTCAAGTTTACGAATCTGTACCGGGTAATAATATGGAGAGACTATAATTTATGAACGACATTTGAACGAATCTAATATGACCTTGAGAAATGTTAGCCAATCAGTAAACAGTCAGTATAGAGTAAAAATATATTCTTCAAAACCAAATAATTAAAGTGGATGCACCTCTTTTATATGGTTCAAAAACTTGTCAAGGTTAAAAATAGATTCAAAGGTTTCAAATCGTAATGCATAAGGTAGAGGAATTCATCCATATGGCTCCATAATAGTTGGTCTCTGGAGCCATGATAAGATCATAAAAACCCTCTCAGCCTCGACCACATAGTTTCAATATTGCTTGTGTGTACTCTGGTTGTGTAAGTTTATCATTTTTATTATGGATATGTCCATAAAATACTCATACTACTGAACAGCCAAAGTTTCAGTAGCATCTGAGATTATTGCAGCCATTGTTATAGGTGCTTTTATTATACAGTTTCCGGCAATTATTATAATATGCTTTAGTCTCAATCCAATTCTAGCAAACGTCTTCTTTTAACATATATTACATCGAAGAACAACATCATGATAGTTTGCACAAGGTCTACAAGTCATTCGATTACCGCAATTACAAATACAGGTATTTCTTAGGAGTCTCATTTATTGTAGCCGTTTAATTGTCAAGTCTTCTCTATAATTCTCTGTGAACCGATCGTACATAAGCATCAGGTACTGAAATCGGCGCCGTGACCTTGAAATCCTTCAAACGCTTCTGATTGACTCGTCCATATACTATAGTCTTGCCAATCATATTTATCTGTAATGATTAATATGTAAAATGTCAAACCTACCTATTGTTATTTACTTAAATAAAAGTCTTATAGATTTGTTTTTTTTTAAAAAAATTTCTTATTTAGTTCATCTCAATACGCTGGTACTATTGCTGGAACAATTTTTTTAGTTTTCAGTATACCACTTATTATATGTAGTGGTTTTTTAACTAGTGCATTATTAATTATACAAGAATCCATTCAAGATGAACGAGATTATCGATGTCGTGATCCAGAATTTTATAAAGATGTTAGTTAACTTCAATGTTTTATTTGTCATTTTTCTCATTGTATTATTAGATCAGTAATGCTGGAACTTCGTCGATGGCTGTCATAATGTTTAATGACTACTCAATTTGTTCTTAGATATCTTAGGAATTCGATCCGCACCTCCCTAATGCTCATAATGCGCTATACCATTTGATATAACTTTACAATGTGGGCGAGTATAACAATGATTGGTTGTTTTGCTGAGTCAGACATTAGATAGGATGACAGGTGTTATATGTGTCATATATATTCCCCTATATTTATTATGTATTGACACATAATAGGACGAAACGGCCGTCCAGGTTTTCCATGGTGGTCTAGCTTCAATTGACTCACGCTTTCAACATTGATTGACTGTTTCTTGTGTCAGATTTTGGTGTGAAAATATATTGACGTTATAGTCAGACGAATCTCGTGTTCTTGATCTGAGTTGTGTTGAATTCCAGTAGAATAGACACTGGGTTGGAATCTAGGGTAGATATTCGTCTAAGGTAAATTAACGTCCCACATACGTGTAAAAAGTGAAAGGACTGTTATAACCAGAAAACCCTAGCGTTATAACAAGTATCCTACGATTTATAACAGTCTTACATGTGAATTCGGTTATGATTTGTTTGTTCTTGTGAGAAGACATTTTTATGGCTTGATTGATTGGCTACTCAAAATTTCTTTTCCAACATTCCATAAGAAGGTAAAAAAAGGAAAGCTCTACTAACCGTTTGTTTTGATAATTATATTGGATGCTTTTGATTATACAACAGATCTATTGAAACTTTGAATATTGTGTTTAGTTTATGCAATCATTTTGAATAGTTAATTTTTTTCTAAAGCAACTATACATTCATCGACTCAGATGTGAGTCATATTTTCGCCCAACCGGAGGCGGTAGCCACTTCTGCCCACGAAATGCCCCGGTACGGCCGAGAATGGGGACAACCCGATCTCCCTCTCGAAATGCTCTCTCATGGCCACGCATATACAGTCTCTGCCAGGGAAGTCCTACTCACTGCCTTCTCGTGGCGGCGGTGTTCACGAAAGTGAGAGGACGAAAAGTAAATGTCCAGCGCTTTAACCGCGTTGGTGGACACGGAGAGTTGAAAAAGCGTGATTCCAAACCAATGGTGCACATGGGCCCCAGTATCGTGAAGGAACAAATGGCGTATGAACCTATTGTCGGTCACCGACTACTATGAGACTGCATCTCATTACGATGCTCTACTGCCTTGTGGATCAAATCTTTAGGTCAAAGGCTCCGGGTCTGGTCCCTTAAGAAAACCACCTGCTTCAGTTTGGGCAGCTAGGCAGTATCACAGCTTTCACACAAATCAAATGAGATTTGTGAGGCGCATATTTATCTGGCACTCCCTTTGTACCAATATTTATGTGTATAAATAAATAAATAATCATCATTAGGGATAGTGATACTATCCGGTTGCTAAATAACGAAATAAGTAGATCTGGACTCTGAAATGTTGGATCATTTCAATTCAAATTCGAACCATCATTTCAGAGATAGTTTAATTATAAATATGTTGTACTTTAACCTACTCAGTCCTAAATTAAAGTCCCACTCCTCGTACTTCAGTTTAGGTAATTAGGCAGTATCATAAACCTGGATACATGAACTGTAGCCTGAAATTGAATACATGAATCCGTATTTAGTGATACGTTTATTCATAGCCTTCATAAGTATTTTTCTTTTTTTTCTTAGATTCCATATCCACGTCAACCATTTAAACCAGTACCAACAACATCATCATTACCTACTCCATATCCTTCTGCACCTGTTCCACGATTTGAAGATTTTCCAAAACCTTCTTTATCACCAATTCCGTATAGGATTTCAAGCCCTCCTAGTTATCATTCAGCAGTTACCCTGACCAATTGACCAACTGTTTGTGATAAATAAGAAAATTAAAGTTAAACAATGATACATATGTTTTAACAGTTTTTGTATATTTATTAAACTACTTATTTAGCCTTCAGTAGTCATTTTATCTTCTCCATATACAATAAACACTAGGGAAATGTTAAATTTTAAGGGCAGTTTGTATACTGTAATCACAAATGGGATAGACACAATAACGTGGAAACTATTACATAATATTATTAATTCAAGGTGGTACATCTCGAAATAATACATATTAGATGTTACTTGGTTGAAAAGTACTTGACGGGAAACACTATATTTCAAGCTAATCAGCACTTGTCAGCAAGGTGTATCTGCAATCTTGGAAGAACTAATGTTGCCTGTAGAGCTATCGTCTGAAAAACTCAGTAGGAACATTTCACATTTTCAAACCATGTGATTTAGGTCCGAACTATTAAGGGACTGTTACTTCCCTCAGGACTCCAGGTAGACTTTTCTGACAAGTGGCAAACACGGTAAATTGAAGATGCAGGATCAACTGCCAACCATCTTCAACCATGTACCATCCAACGCATAATACATGCAACGGAGAGTGGCGTCAAATTATTCAGTAGTATTAGATCAATACTAACGACTGGAAAAACATGATTTTATCTACTACTCAGTGATCAGTCGGTGTACATACTAGTTAATGAGTGAACCCATTAACCATGTAGCAACGTAAGATTATTGCCTTCTCGTATTACCGAAAATAGCAAATATGTGTGATATGTTGTGGTTTCCTGTTATCTATTTATTGTTTGAATGGTTTTCAACAGAATAAAATTGAGGAAACCAGTTGTGTATATGATTTCACTTACTTACTTGCGCTTGTTAACCCCAATGGAGCATAGGCCAGCATTCTTCAACCCACTTTGTCCTGGGCCTTCCTTCCTAGTTCTATCCAATTGTTGTTCATCCTTCTCATATCTCCATTTCTCAGCCGAAATTGAAACAACGAGATAGTTGAAAAGTCTAACCTCTGAATATTTTGCTAGGTATAGCCCTATACAAATGCTCCCACATGGCCACAGTCCTACTCACTGCTTTTTCTCAAGGGGAGTATTGTTTACGTATTTGTAAGGACGAAAATCGAATGTTCGGCGCTTTAACAGGTTTGGTGGATATGAAGGATTCACCTTGAGGAGTTGGAAACCCCTCATTCCAAACCAATGATGCATATGGACTCCAAGGATCGTTAAGGAACAACTAGCATTTTGATGAATGCATCAATATTTCTCATTGGACAATTATGAAAGAAATAATCCTTAAATGTGTTCAAATAAACAAAATAATTTCAACGACACGTTTAACAGTGGAATTAGTGGCAATACTGGTATATCCCGAAGCGATTTATGAATGGTAACTTGTGAGGACTATTTATGGACCAATATGATTGCTAAGTAACTAAACTATTCATATTCGTGTCCCTCTTATTATAAGTTTCATTTTGACCTATAGAGTATTATTATACAATTTACCATTCTTGAGTTATCCCCAGTCTATTAATTACTGTTCCTCCTATTCACAGCCACATTTGGCTAAATCTTGTACGCATGTTATTTTCAAATTTATGGTACGATGTGGTCTGTTAGATTGGTATATAAACCCAGTATGTTTGAGAATAATGATTCATATTGCAGAGGCTGTTATTGGTGTTTTGAACTTAATTGGCTGGGCTAGGCAGAAAGCAGAACTGATAAGTACTCAAAACTGCTCATACAGATATTGTGTATCATTGGATCCGATCAAATTAACGGGGGTCATCACGTTATTAATCGAACAGGGCACTCACTCAATCGATATAACAGATACATGTCTATTTAATAATATTCATAACTTTAGCTTGATACAAATGTGGGTTTTATTCTAAAGCGAATATAATTGATATACCATAAATCAAGTTTTTATGTCCATATTTTTATTGGACAAATTACATACTGTTTAAGTAGTTACTAACTACTTAAATCAACTTTATCATCTGTAATCCATAGAATCACCTTAATTAAATAAAATTCTTGTAAACATTCAATACAATTAAAGTCTCGTTCTTTTTTTGTATTTTTCATATCTCTATTTGTTAGTTTTCCCAGAACAACCCCCCCCTACCCAACAATAAACAATATATAATCACCAAAACAAAAAAGAGGAGTGAAGGCGCGCACACACATACGCACGAAGATTTTTTCTTCACATTCATTGACAATTTAACAAGAAAAAACAAACAATGAAATTGTTTTCTGAACAAAAATTGTATATTATTTATTATTAGCTTTATTCAATATTATATTTTTGATACAATATAGAATTCTCAGCACAAATTACTTCAACAAATTTCCGTTTCTTACTTCTTGGTCGATCCTGACGATAAATATTGAGTAATCGTCAGTTAGAAGTTAGCAGCCCAGTCATCAATCGACATCTGGATGATGTAAATTTTTCTCGCTGTATAGTGTCAGAAACCACGATATCTCTGATTAGGACTTTTGTAACCTTTATAGCGAAAGGTCTTAAACTTTTCAGAAACGCACCTGAATAGATTGTGTGATTAATAGGCATAATGATGTATTAAAAGAAACAAAATTAGATAACTTATTGAAATATCTAGATGACAGGAACGGGTAGCCCAGATGTTTAAACAAGCCACCAATATTTACTGAATTGGTCCTTGCTTATCATGATTATACCGTTTTCTTTAAGTGATGTACATTCTTGAACTTGTCAAGTTTTATATTTAAAAAGAAAAAAAAATATTCCAAAAATTGATGATAAAGATGTTGATTGTTTTCGAGAGTTTTAAGTAGTTGTCGTTTCCTACGTTATGGAAGAATGTTTATTGAGGAGGACGTATGCTAATTCAGCGCGGTTTCTTCATTAAGTAGGATAGGTACTTAGGTGGAGATCTCAAGGTTTCTTCTGTTTCAAAACCTAACTATTTTAACTTTTAAGAGAGTAGATTTAATTTGCACTAGTTTAGATTACTCCATTCTTGATATTTTGACAAATACTTTGCTTGCGGTTTGTCACAATTTTATGTAGAAGAGATAGACTGTGATTAACAATTAAATCAAGGACTCGTGTTTCGTCCTATTTGGACGACAATCGTTCAGTGCCATAAGTGTTGTGAATTGAAAAAATATGAAGGCCGTATGCTAATTCGTTATTGATCTTATGTCCGGCTTTTATCACGTGAATTATCCACCATTCGAAATACGACTCATATTAACACTGTGACAAATCAATGACGTTCAACCAGTATGAGTAGTCTAACGTCCTTATTGGTCCCTTGTCCGCCTAGCCCTTCCAATTGAGTCCATAACACCAATGACAGCTTCTGTTATGCGAATCTATGAGAATCATTTATTTCAAGCATACTTGGTTTATATACCAGACAGATAGTTCGTATCACACTATAAAATAGAAAATAATATTTGTACAAGATCAAGCCAAATGTAGCTGTGAACATGGGAGACAATAATCAATAAACTGAATATAAATTGGGAACAGTACATCGTACAGTAATAATTCATAGGTCAAAATGAAGCTTATAATGAGAGGAATATAGATATGCACAATCTAATTACTGAATAGCTATAAAATAAGAATATATATAGAATAATCGTCCATTAATAGATTCAGGAGGTTATCCGTACTTACGTCTTCACTACGATACAACAATATAAGATCTGGGAGTATGATTTCAGTGTCTGAAAGAAAACGTCTGGTATTCGGACACGAAGCCTTCTTGAAAAATAATTTTTGATATATTAGCTGTGTACTTAACTCTAGAGATGAAGGATCATGGGAATAGGTGCGCTATGTTGTTTTTATGGCTAATCGTTTTCCAAATCTTTTCGTTTCATTGTATAAAATCAGGTTCGCTATCAATATTTATTGTTTGACAGAAATAAATTAATGACATTACATCACAGCACATTCAGTTGTACAACCTTTCCTTTAGACCATGAGTTGTTACTATTATGTTACCGTTCCCTAATTGGCCTACTTTTCATGGGAGAACCTAAAGGAACGAATGCTGCAACCAGTATAGCTTGTTTTTATCATTACGATAGGAATGGTTAACTATGAAATCTAGGTAACACCTACAGTCGGGTGTTGGCGAAAAACTTGATTATAATTTCATTACCACTTAGTCTCAGAACGTCCATATACCATATCAATTGCTGTCAATGGATAATCAACTTGAAAGTATGCTGAAACAATAAACTATTCTACATATAGGTCAAATTTAGCTGAAAACTCAATCCAAAAGATGTGTCTGTATAGACGATACGTTGATGATATCATAATCATAGGGGATAAATGTGAAGACTTGAACCACTTGTTAAAAGAACTCAATGCAAGTCAGAAGCATATTTCTCTTACGTGCGAGGAAGAGAAGAACAACCAACTTCCTTTTCTAGATATACTGATCAGTAGAAGAGAAGATGGTTCCATCCAACGTTCTATTTATAGAAAGCAGACATGGACGGGGCAATACCTTAATTTCCATAGTCACTGCCCAATTCATTACAAACGTGGGTTAATTAAGGGCTTATTCAATAGAATCAATCGTATTTGTACTAGTGATACTATTGAAATAGAAACGAAGCGTCTAACTAATACGTTAATGAATAACGGTTATTCATTTAAGTTCATAAACCGCTGGAAGGGTTGCAATACGATTAGACCTATTACGCTTCTGGCACCCAAAAAGCGAGTTTATATTACATTACCATTTAGAAGTGACTCTAATAGTCTCATGTTAAGACGGAGACTAAAATTAGCCATAAATAGGACATTTTATGCAGCTCAACTTGTCATCATTGAAAAGACAAGGTCGATATTTCACCAAAAACCTAGACAGCATATAAGCGATTGTGTCACATCCCATTGTGTATACCAATTTACATGTATGTGCGGAAACACGTACATAGGGAGGAGCAATCGTGATTTGCAAATAAGGGTGGTGGAACACATACCTAAATGGCTACAGAACCAAATGAATTCGAATAGTCAAATAAGATCACAGGACAGACAAACATCTTCCTCTATTGCGAAACATTTAGTTGAAACTGGTCATAAGGTTGACATCAAATCAGCATTTGTAGTGTTGTACAAAAGCCTTCAAGGACGTATACTAAGGTTTATTGAAGCCTTGGCTATACGGAAATTGAAACCCCCTTTATGTGTTCAAAAACAATTTGTTCTTACCCTTAACCTACCCTGGTAATGCTTATTTATTATCCAGAGTAGTCATCACTTTGTTTTTGTGTACTTTATTTATTTTCTTACCTTAACCTGTCTAGTTGACCTTTTAATTTTCATATAAAAAATGTCTTAACAAGTATATGTGTGATCAGATTGTTCGAAATGTATTGCGCTAATATATCACATAATTCTGATAATCTTCGTCTTCTCATTGCATTATCGAAATTTATCAAAGGGACTAATTGTTTTATATTCTACATATTGTCACGAAAAGTTTATCTCCATCTAAGGTTTGAATATTTCGAGAAGTAACAGTAAAACTACAAAACTCTTGCGTCAGTTAAATTTTGAAATTGATACTTCCATTATATTAGTGTTTGTGAGTGGCATAATAATGAACACTAACATTTTAACCTTTGAATGAGACATCATAATGAATGTCATTTTATACCTTCTATTCATCCAAGCCCGAAAGAACAAGATATATCTGCAAATACGATAACTATTATGTGGAAAGTGATATGGGACAGTATGAGCATACAAACATTAACTATGTATTACTTTAAGAATGGAACTATAGTACTTACTGATAATCATAATCAAAAACTTTCATCATAATCTACATACGGACACTTCATGAGTTATGTCAACAGTGCATTTTTCATAGTTGAAATCATGAATAAACTGAAGTCAGGCCACAATGGGAAACCTGGAAGCACTGGACGGCCGTTTCGACTTGTTATGGGACTCCTCAACAGTGTGCATCCACGATCCCGCACTCGCGAGATTCGAACCCAAGAACTATCGTCCTCGCGACAGAGCACTTAACCATGATTTCAACTATGAAAAATACTGAAATCTCCACAAAATCCCTTCTGATTATTATTATATACTCACTAGTGACTGACTTCAAGATTCATGTCCTGGAGTTCTAGTGGGAAGCAGTGACCAGTGGAGTCCAACCACGTCTGTTATGAGATAATAACTGACTGAGGACTATTGGTGAACGGTTGCTCAGACTTCGGGGATTGGTTGAAGTTAGACATAAACACCGTTAGATGCCGGCCCAGTGGTCTGTCGGTTAAGTGCTCTGGAGCGAGACTGATAGGTCCGGGGTTGGAATCTCGAGAAGAGGCACTGTGAGGAGTCCCATAATAGAACGAAACGGCTGTCCAGTGCTTCTAGGTTTTCCATTGTGGCCTGGCTCCAATTGACTCGTGATTTCAACAATGAAAATACTGAAATCTCCACAAAACCCCTTCTGATTAAGAGTGAATATCAACAAATGACGTCTATAGATGAAGTGATGCCGTTTGAAAATAGTAATGGCCTTTATGATATACAAAACTTCTGATAGTACTATGAACTTAGAAAGCCACAACATTGCAAATCTAAATAAATACTGTTAGTATTACCGAAGAATGACAAAGCAATACAATTAGAACAAGCAGAACTAAATGATTCGTCGGTAATATGTACCATCATATATTATATTAAACATATAACAAAATGATTTGAAGTAACATATGCTACTGAGCTATATTAAGTTGTGCTGCACATAAACAAATAACAATCTGAAGGTGCATATATAGGCATAGATTGCAAAGCCATTGAAATTTCAAATGCTCCACAAAGAAAGATTTCTTGTAAAATACTGCAATTCGTCGGGGGAATAAACATATCAACTTTTTTCTGTTTAGATATATATTTTTCTACTAAAAATGCCTTTTAGATAGCATTGGAAGAATGCAAAATGCTTTGGGACTAAGAAAAATCGGTGGTACATTAACTTTAATTGTAGGGTCCAAATTGGAGGTAACCATTGACCAAGCATGATATGGGCAATTACGATTACAGAGATCACAACTTTAAATAACAAGACATATTTACACACTTCTAATTAACCAAACGACGAGTCACTCCTATTTTTTTTTGACCACGTTAAACTAACCGTATTCATTTCTGTGCGGTTTTGACGATTATAGATCAAACAAATAATTCCCTGCTATAAAGCTACGCAATTCAAATAAAAGTTATTCAGTAGGTAAATATAGATTGAAGAATTAATTTCCAAATCACTTGAAGTTCAAGCAACTATTAATTTAAAAGTAACAAGAAAACCCAGTGATTAATACAATTTGATCTACACTAAGAAGGATTTAACAAACGTCATATTCGACACTACCCACTATTGAGCCTATCCATGCACGATTGTGTTGTTGCATGCTGATTGACTAATTCTCATCCAATTACCGCTAGTCGATACTTGGGGAAGACCTTAGAATCTTCTTATGTAAAAACTATAAATACACTAACGTATTTCTCACTGCGCTTTTCACTTCCATCTATCCTTATTATTTGGAATATAATTTCTTCCTGTTCAACCGTGTTCTGATTTGAGGAGTTTTCGAGTGTATTGGTGCTCAAGAATGCTAAGCAATAGGAAGAGCTGGGTCGTAATAAGAAGATATATATAACAGTTATAACATAAGTCCAGAGAAATTTGAATAATACAGAGAGGATCAGTACACCTTGTTGTGACACAAATGCTAACTAGCACGATACTCAGATCAAGCTTGATTCTTTGTCAAGTATCTTCAATCACCTATGATCTAATGAAATCAAAATAATAATTCAAGATTCAAACAAGTAAAACTAAGTGAATTTAAACTTCACCCCATTGCACAAGCAAGTGGCTATAAGGACTCAGTAGCTGAGTGGATAATGCGATGGCGTTTGAAGCGAAAGATACTGGGTTCGAGTCCCAGGGTAAACATCAACATGTCTGAGATGCAGACACACCCAGCTGATGAGTCCCAAATAGGACGAAATGCGCGTCCTAGTTTCCACTGCTAGCCACTATCCATCTTTGCTTACCATGCTTGTGAATTAAGGCTATATCGAGGCAATACACACAGTATACACATATGGCCAATTAGAGACTGACCAGTTACAGTCCTAACACATTGATGGGAAGATTCAAACAGACAATACCAAATGAATTTAATAATTGAAAACATTTCTTCATATAAATACATTATTATTATTATGATTAGTATTATCATAGTAAAGAAAAAAGGAATTAAATTAAATAAATTATACTGATGATGATAATAATAATAATAACAATAATAGTAATAATGATTAAGAAATTCCACACATTACTTTTTGTTTTGTTTTTTTTTATAGAAAAAAAAACAGTCACACCATCCCCCCATGAAACCAAATTGATCAAGTTAAAGTAGAATAGAACAGGGTAGAATAGAGCTGAGAAAACCAATAAAGTAGTAATGTTTTCCTTTAAAAAGAAAAATCTTTTAATAGCAGATTTATATACATTGACAATTTTTATATTTTTCAACTTTAAATTTAGTTGTCAAGAGAGGGAGAGAGTGAAAAAAGGGAGGTAAGATCATTGATTTTAACGAAATCAGTATTATTATCATCATTATCATGAATAAGAGATAATTCATTCATACACATAACTCAAAATAAGGGATTATTGTGCATATTGTCTAATATGGACAATTAAAGCATGCCAATAAGAATTAGATGAGGAAATCTTAGCAACCAATATCCATAACAATAATGAAAAGTGTGTGTGTATGTGTATGTGGAGGAGGAGGGAGAAAGAAGATCATTTGAAGAGATGTTTTTATGGTGTGTGTGTGTGTGCATATATATATATATAAATGACATAATTATCTAAAGAAAAATATTATGTATTTTGTTGTAAATATGTACATACATGGATGAATTAAAACAAAATGATAAGGTTTAGAACTTCATATACTGTATTGTCACATACACACAAATGACTATTTGATTAAGGGTTCGAACAAGGGAGAAGGTATTTGAGTTTAAAACAAAAAACAAACAAGTTAGTCAAGTTTACATTAACGTACGCCCACGCGCGCGTGTGTGCAGGAGGCATCAAAACATTCTTAGAAGAGAAGGTGATAAACGCAAAATAACAATATACATAACATATATATATATATATACATACACACACCCTCAACTACATACATCGTACACACTAAACAGAAAAAATAAACAATATGAAAGAATAAATGAAATTAATTGGAAAAAATTATCATTCAACACAAAATAGATGTGCGTTTATTCAAAAAAAAGTTTCATGATCATCATTTTAATTTGGCTTACAAATGAGATGAGAGAGAGAGAGGAGGGGAAACAGGAAACAAGACTGAAGATTGTATGTCTATGAATGTAAATCTTGATTACAAATTTTATCTATTATGAACAACTTTGTCTATGATATAATTAACAATTTGAAGCTTCAGAAGAATCACGATTATTATTTCCAGTGGTATAAATGCGATCTTGATGTCGATGTGATGAATTCGACATTGATCTTTCACCATGATTATGCCTTGATGAATATGGAGAGTTGTCATCACGATCTCTTGATCTATGTGAAGAAGAATCTCGATAACGAGGATTGTATTCATCATGACGATGTGATTGTTGTTGTTGTTGATGATGATAATGAGATGGATGAGTATGGTGTTTACGATCATAACGAGAATTATGATGAGAATGATGACCAAAGTATGGATGCTGTTTCGATGTTGATGATGATGATGATCTATAATGATCAAACTTACTGGAATTTCTTGATTGATACGAGTTATTATGATGTCCATGTGAATGATGACGATTTTCATAACGACCACCATAATCACGAGATGATTCTTTAAACTTTCTAGATGTTGAAATATTACTGCTACTATTACTACTATTTTGAGATGTAGGAGTGGTATTAGTAGTAGTAGTAGTACTAGTAGTAGTAGGTTGACGTGATTTTGTTAGATCCGTGTCTACTTTTGTTTTTAATTGACAAGTTTGAACAATTGGAGTGTGTAAATCTGCAACACTATAACTAGTTTTAATTGATTGAAAACATTCAGGTATAATATCAGTAGATATAGGTTCTACTGAATCTAATTTTTCATCTAATACAGGTGTTCCAATACTTATTGGAGGAGAATCATTATCAACAAATGCAGGTTTTGAATTGGTTACTAATGATATAGGTGAGATGATTTCTGCAGTGATAGTTTCATTCTCGACAAGCTGATTGATTTCATCTTTCACAGATAATGATGATGAGTTCAAAAGGGAATGATCTTGACAAATAGATTCATCCCGTTGAAACTCTATCGTATGATGATGATCATGATTATTGATAGTTGATATTTGTTTATTATCCGTCGAATGATGAATCATATTAGCATCATCATTATTCAATTCAGCAGAGAATTCGTCATGTTTTGATAAATCTTTTTCAGGCGAGGAATGATATGTGGTACATATGGAATTCATCGTTGAATAATCATCTGAAACTAATGTTTCCACAGCAAACTTTGTAATAGGTCTATACTCTTTATTATTATTATTATTATTATTATTATTATTATTATTATTATTATTATTATTATTATTATTATTATTATTATTATTATTAGTAGTAGTAGTAGTAGTAGTAGTAGTAGTAGTAGTAGTAGTAGTGGTAGTAGCATTAGTATTAGTATCATTATCTGAAGTTGGAATGACAGTTGTAGAAAATTCATAACTATCATCAATACCACTATTATCGATCATTTTTTCTTCAGTAGTAGTTACATTATTGTGTAAATCTATAGAAGTATCTAACAATGAATTATCCTCATGATTAGTTGTTATCAATGGCATATTCTCCTCTTGTACATTATTCACAATACAATGACTATGATTGACATTATCTATATCCATATCATTATGAGTAGGAGATATATTATCAGTTGAAGTAGGCAAGATAGTATTATGATCATCTTCAACAATAACTTGCTTTTCAAAGGAGAATTCAATAGATTTATCATTGTTTAAAGGATTTATTAGATTGTCGTCTATGGATACACTGGAACTATGTACATGATTATTGTCTATTGAATGATTTGAAGTAATACTTGATGTTGAAAGTGGATTATCACAATCATTTATTGATTTCAAATTATTATTATTATTATCATTATCACTATTAAATGACATAATAACTGGTTTATCCAATGTCAATGCAAAATGATTCATTTCTGTGACAACTTTATGAATTGAAATATGACTAGAGAAAATTGGTTGTATATTCATTAAACAAGTATCATCATTCCAAATTACATGTGATTCATATAAATGTGTATGTAATGATGATGATGATGCTGACGACGCCGACGACGACGATGAGGATTGTAATGATAATGTTTGATCTATTGAAGATATTTGATTAGTAGAAGGTGAGAAATGTTTAGTATCCTCTGTAATATTCATTGAATTATTCAAACTTTCATTAGATATATCATCATTGATATTATTATGATTTAATTCAGATAAATGATTAACAATTGGATATGAAGTATTACTATTATTATTAATATTATCTTGTAGATTGTTAATCATTTCAGGTTCTGGTACTAATCTTTTACGTGTAATAGAACATTTACGTTTTCTTGTTGATCCAATACTAGGTGATGATGATGATGATAATGATATAGTCAAATGATCATCAGTAGATAATGATGACGATGATGATGATGATGTAATTATGAATTGATTATTTGATGTAGGTTTTAATATGATTGATGATAAACGATCTATAGAATTTTCATTAGATGGTAAATCAGATTGCTTCAAATTAGCATTAAGTGAAGTACTAGGTAAGTGATTATTATTAGTAGTAGTAGTGGTAGTAGAAGTGTTTGGGACACTAGGATTATTCACACTCATTTCCTCTGTATTAGATGGTAGAAGAGAAACATTTAAAAGTTGTTTAGGTGAATTTTTATCCATTGTATTACATAATGAATGATTTGAATCGATTATGACTAATGATGATGAATTATGTTCTACAGTAATTTCAGATGATGTTTGAACAATATCTGATTGAATTGGTGATGAATTTTCTGAGATACATGTACGTTTAATGGGTATACTTAGAGATTCATCTTCTTTACTGGATGATATATCATCAATTTTATCGAGGAGTATAGCATCTGGTGACGAAGATTTATTAGGTGATAATGATACAGGATTTGATGATGTAAGTTTTAATGATTTATTGAAACCTCTGCTTCTTCCACGGTTGATTTTAAGTGGAATTCGACCTCGAGAACCCAAACTACGTGAAGATGGTGAAGATATTTCATCAACAACTGGATTATTTTCAACGGGTAACAATGAAATGGAAGTTTGTTGTTGTTGTTCTGGAACAATGGAATTTTGAGATAATGTAACTGTAAATTGTGAAGAGTTAGTTTGACGTTTCCGTTCCAACCAGTCAACAACACGAGCAAGTTTTTCACCCTAGATTTTCAGAATGAACAAAACGAAAAAAATGAATGACATGAAGAAGGTGTAAACAGAAATATTCCGCATAAAAGCGAACCACTTTCAAGAGTTAATACTTCTTACTTTCTAAGTACATATCAACATAGAATGTAAAGATGATAAGTGGCAAAAATAATCTTTGAAATTAGACCGATCTACTAACTGTGATGATATTGCATTTACAGTGTAAATTACCAATGAAATCATTTAATCTGGAAACGTATTGTGACTGTATATCACGACAAATATAGTTATTTATATTCAAACTATTAATCTTGTGAGGACGAATGTTGCTACTTAACTGAGCACACTGAAATAGATAGTTAGTCGGTGGTAATCAAGGTACACCATGACAAGCATGACAAGCTAAAATTAGCAGGAATAATAGCGAGGAAATACAAATAATGTATGAGGGATGATAATGAGAAAGACCAAACATTGGGAATACAGTTCAAGCAAAGGTATATATGAAGGAATACGAAAACTTAAGATCTAGATGGGGTAAGATCAAAAGCGAATGCATGAAAGACGTATCATACAAAGTCTCTAACCATTAGCTGTAATTATCTAGAGGACCCCCCAACCAGGTATTATACATCTAACAGCACAGCTCAAACCAATAATAAATGACTCCATAGACTGATGATACATTTCCATCCAGTCGTCAATAGTAAATGGAATAGAGTGTGAGGTTGTGATCTATTCTTTGAAAACTCTGAACTAAAACCACCAAGAAGTCACTTGTTCAATTAACAAAACTTTCATTTCCAGTGACTCAATTTACAATTTATTATGAATTTATTATGAGATTTCGTCCTATTACATGACTCCTCAGCCGGATGCTGGCTCAGTGATCTATCGGTTAAGTGCTCTGGTACGAGACTGATTGGTCCTGGGTTCAAATCTCGCGAGTGCGGAATCGTGTATGTGCACTGGTGAGGAGTCCCACAATAGGACGAAACGTCCATCCAGTGCTTCCAGGTTTACTATTGTGGTTTAGCTTCAATTGACTCATGATTTCAACTATGAATAAAATAGTTATCTAGAAAATTGTATATGGTGAAAAAATCTTTAATATTGTATGTAATGCTACACAATCAAACTCCGATCAATTATGAAGTAATCAAGCCTAGAATTACAAAGTTTATTCTACAAAAAACCTAAGGATAGAAACATTTATGACAAAATAAATACTAGTAAGGTAATTAAGCCACATTTTGTGAATGAGAGGCTTCGAGAGGTAAATCACGCATGATTTAAAGCCAGCAGACATCTATCGAAGCAGCAATAGTATCCTGCTATTATAAGAGTCGACAATAATCTCAATGTATATAATACTTGCTGAATTTCAGACTTTGTTGGGAATAATATGTGTCTTTCATGAGGAACGGTTCTATATAGCAATTAAGTGATAAACTATTCTATAGCTATCTGGACCCAGTAACTCAGTGAATAAAGCAGACGGTGTTTGAAGTGGAAAGCATTGGGTTCAAGTCTCAGCGCGTAAATCATTACTGCGATACAAGTACGTTTAGCTGCAAACCAACCATACCAGAAAAGAAAGGATAGCATTTTCCGAATTTTGCGATTACATCACAAATTGACAATCTTAAAATTAAAGAAAAATAACAACTAAGTTGATGTAAACAAAGAAATAAAGAAGCCATGATGAACAACTGAATTTATTCATGAGGACATTATTTCACTTAATCTTAAGTTTGTAAAATACTGACATTTGGTTTTCCAATCGTTTATTCTATACACCATATGCTTTCGTTTTATGCATGATTCATTGTTATACTCCTTTTCTGCTCCAAAGCTATTGTAATTTGAACGTAACCATTTGTACTCTCTTTTTTTAATACCGTGATGCCCAGATTGAACATAATTGTATTTTCCTAGTTGTTTGTGATTTATGGTCCTGTTAGTCATCTATTTATTCATATATCTTCTCACCTTAATCTGAAATGAATAGCGTTTTAGTTGAATCTGTCTCTCTCGTTTGTCAACCAATCAGGTGATGGAGTAACTTTCATTTCTTGGTCAAAGATCGTTAGTCTCAATTCGGACCCACGCATCTCTAGCCTCACAGTCGAACAAATTAGCCTATCGCATCAAGGTAATAATCTAGATCGAGACCAATTCCCTCTTGTATATGACTGGATAGAAAGATCAAGGACGTACCACATGTCTAATAGACAACGAATATTTAAAATACTTTTGTATTTACATGTTGAGTTATGCTGTGTAACACCTTCTACGATGCTCTGGTATAGCTGAAGATAGAAAGAGTTCACTCTACCACTCCAAAAGCTTTCATATGGGAACGCATAAATGACCACTGACACGCAAGTCCAATTCACTGCCTCCTCACGAAAGGGTTATTGTTTACCAAATTGAGAGGACGAAAAGAGAACATCGAATTGGTGCTTAAACAGGGTCAGTTGGTACGGAATACCCAGTTACAGGAGTTGGAAAACCTTATTTTTAAATCAATCGTGAACATTGACTCCAGGGTCCAAAAAGAAACAATTGGCGTACGAACCTATTATTGGACAACGGGTATTATGAGCCCGCGCCTCCTGACATTTTTGCACTATTTGGTGGATTAAACCTACAAGTCGAAGGCTCGGAGTGGTTCGCTAGGAAAACCATGTGCTTCGGTTTGGGTCCCCGGACAGTATCCCAGCTTACACACAAGTTTATTAATAACTATAGTGTGTGGCGCATAAGTATTTCGGCGTTCCTTTGTACCAAAGTTTATGTGTTGAAATAAATAAGTAAAACATAATGTGTAGCCAAGATTATTTATTTTCTCGAGATAATATGATAGATCTTGAAATATTAGTTATGATAGAATAGTTCATCTACCAATAATATAGTCTATGAAAATTCCATGACAAGACTACTGTCATGAAAAGAGCCCAGAAAAACGAATAATTATTGAATGGACAAAAAAATCATCGCTGGAAAAGCTCATCAAGTTGGATAGAAATTATATGAACACAAATTCTCAAGAAAAACGAACAAACCTTTTGCTTTAAATTGCCAACTGGAACTGCAGTATTCTTCTCATCGCTACTGGATATATTTCCAGATACTGTAGTACATTCTTCAGGAGATGTTTTGGTTTCAAATGTTTGTTCATCTTTGACAAATGACTCTGAGAAAGATATTTGATCACGGGTGAGTAGTTCAGAAGCTGAATACTGTCGTGGTAAACTACCACGAATACACTGATTATCAGGTTTACGAAGGAAACAATAAGGCTACAGAGGGGAAAATAATAAAAAGGTTTTTCATACAACACTGACTATCTTTGCTTATTAGTTCTCAAAATTACTTTATTCATTTTATGACATAGTGAATTGACCGATTTCGTTGGTGCTTATTACATCAGGAAGAAATCGAACTCTCATGTACTATTGTCTTGTGACAATAAAAACAACATATATAGACACTTCCGGTGAACAAATATGCTCAGAAGACTATCACTTTTAAGTGTTAGACATCTAGATATAGCCTTATACTTATGCGGCATTATTATTAGTTTTATTTAATATTATATTTTTGGTACACTATAGAATTCTCAGCACAAAATATTTCAACAAGTTTCCGTTTCTTACTTCTCCGTTGATCCTGATGATAAATATTGAGTGATCACTAGTTAGAAGTTAACAGTCCAGTCAATCGACATCTGAATAATGTACATTCCTCTCGCTGTATATTGTCACAGCAACCACAATATCTCTGATTAGGCCTTTTATAAGTTGTACAACGAAAGGTTGTACACTTTTCAGAAACGCACCTAAATAGGTTATGTGATTGATAGTCATAATGATGTATGAAATTTAAGAGATTGTGATTATCACGTTCTTTTCGAATACTCTATATAATTATTCAGAAATTCTACAATTTGAACCAACATTAATAATCAAAGATGGATAGTGCCTAGCAGTGGAATCCAAGACGCGCGTTTCGTCCTATTTGGGACTCGTCTGCTGGATGTGCCTGCATCTCAGACGAGTCAGTGGCCGAGTGGATAACGCGATGGCGTTTGAAGCGAAAGGTACTGGGTTCGAGTCCCAGGGTGAACATCAACATGTCTGAGATGCAGACACACCCGGCTGACGAGTCCCAAATAGAACGAAATGCGCGTCCTAGTTTCCACTGCTAGCCACTATCCATCTTTGCTTACCATGCTTGTGAATTAAGGCTATATCGAGGCAATACACACAGTATGCACATATGCCGATTAGAAACTGACCAGTTGCAGTCCTAAAACATCTATGGGAAGATTCAAATAAACAATAAGTGAATTTCAACATTATTCATGCTTCAAACGATTTTCTAAACCATGAACAAATAGTTAACTGGATATTTTGATACGGTATTTACTACGTTAAAAAGTATTAGAAACGAAAGGAATGATTAGATCATCAGGTGAAACGGTAAATAATCACGAATATAAGATTTGACTGTATAATTTTTCATCCTACATCTGTTAGGAGAGTAACTTAAACATTTTAGTTAAACAATATACACATATAGTATAACAGTATGGAATTCCTTAATGAATAGAATACACCAAGTCTGATGGAATTGTTAACTGTATGTTTCAGTAGAAGTTAGATGAAGGTAATTAGCTCGAAATCATCATGAGAGACAAAGTTTGTAACTGTGATTAATGATTACCCAAGATGGGAAATTTTCACCTATTTTCTAAATTGAAGAAACAAATTTTTTAGGGTATAAAGTTATGTGAAGATAATTTAGCATAAGTTCATCTATTTTACGTACTAGTATCAGTAAAAATACTACTTTAAACCAGAGAACTCTAAACAGTTATGTTGTCTTTGTTCTGAATTCTCAATGGATGCTTTAAAAAGATATCGTGAAGCCCGAGTAAATACCAATTGCTCGCTAGCTACCACTTCACAGACACCCACACGATGTAAAGATCCTTTTTGAAACACTCGGTAAGGAAACTGGATAAGTAGAAGTCTACGAGACCTGGAAGTACGCACGCAGAAAAAAGGCAGTTATTTGAAGCTGATCATATGTAAGACTTGTGTGAAAATTTCAGAATTAGCCCCATATTTAAATGGCCTTACTACCAGTGACGGAAATCTATGGGGTAATTTGAAGCATGTCATGTTTCGGGTCAGTCATTCTAAACTCTCATCCTCCGGTGTGAAAAGGCTATATAAGTACGAATGTTAGTTGTCTAGGGAAAACATCTTACAGTTGCTATACCCCAGTACAATCAACAGTAAGTTTTCCCTTTCGATCACTGAGTTGAAGACTTCAATCATACTGTTCTCTAACCAACTTGGATGGCATGATAGAACTGAAATAAAAGAATTTTTAAACAATATGCTCTGATTGGTAGGCTTGACCATCATTCCAAGGTAGCAGCTAAGGTAAGGGTGGTATGACCGCCTGGACCGATTTATACATGTGTTTGATTTTACGTTGTGTATGACTAACAACTTGTTTCCCAACTAATATCAGACTGTAATGAAAATGAACTTCAAACTAGAATCTGTATTCCAAAAACAATAGATTGAAATATAACTAAGCTGACGTGAGAGATAACAGCATCAAAATCTACCTAGCCAACAGGGCAAACAAAAACACAATATAACAACCAACTATTGCTACAAATATTTATATTTCAAATTCACATACCTTCATACTGACTTTTAAGTAACCAGGAGATATTTCATCAAATCTACAAGTATGATTATCAACTGATGATTGTTCAAATAATTTTTCACAAACAAAGAAATATTGAAACTGATTTGTAGTAGGATTGGAATCATTCAGATTGTAATTTTTCAGTGATGGCATAAATTCTTTTATATGTGCTGTGTATAGTAAATCAGCGGGTCTGCCAACTCTATATGCTGAAGGGCATAACACCATACATCTACCAATCCAAGCGTCTAATGGAAGAATAACACGTCTAGCCTCATCGTAGACAACTTCATCAAGATGCCAAAATTGTGGACATTTTGATGAATCAGTTATTGCCGATATCGGAGGTAAATCATATGGACGCAGAAATAAACCACCTTCTAACCAAGCTAAACCACTAAAAAATGTGTGAGAAACAATAACGTTGTTTAATTAACAATCTACAATGCAGTTTTCATAAATTTAATTCTGTATAGATTATAACAATGAAGAAATTTGAAAAACATTGAAATGCAGATAGTGAAAGTAAAATGTGATAGAATACTGAGCGTTGGATGGTGACAAATATTCTGCTTATTGACAATTGAATGTATGTAATCTTACTTACTTACGCCAGTTACTTCCCATGGAGCATACGCCGCCGACCAGCATTCACCGACCCACTCTGTCCTGGGACTTCCTTTGTACTTCTATCCAATTTTTGTTCATTCTTCTAATGTCTGTCTCCATTTCTCAGCGTAATATGTTATTTGGTTTTCCTCTTCTCCTTTGGTCTTCAGGATTTCACGTGAAAGCTTGCCTTGCGACGCGGTTGGGTGACTTCCTCAATGTGTGTCCTTTCCACTCCCAGTGCTTCTTCTTGATTTCTTCCTTCGCTGGAATCTAGTTTGTTCTCTCCTACAGTAGCTTGCTGCTGGTAGCGTCTGGCCAACAGATCCAAAGTAATTTGCGTAGACAACTGTTAATAAACACTTGTATCTTCTGGATGATGGCTTTCGTAGTTCTCCAGGTTTCTGCCCCATACAGTAGAACTGCCTTGAAATTTGTATTGAAAATTCTGATCTTGGTGTTGGTTGACAATTGTTTTGAGTTCCAGATGTTCTTCAATTGTAAATATGCTGCTCTCAGTTTGCCGATCCTCGCCCTCACATCTGCATCAGATCCACCGTGTTCATGGATGATGCTGCCCAGATATGTAAAGGTTTTCACATCCTCCACAGCATCTCCGTCTTGTGTAATTAGATTGGTGGGTGCTCTATTGTATCGGAGTGTCATGCTTTTCCCTTTGTTTACATTGAGACCTACTGCAATCATAGGAATTTCGGATAACATTGACTATCTTCTCAGGCACGCCGTAGTGTCGAAGAAGCCTCCACAGTGTTGTCCTGTTCACGCTATCAAATGCTTTCTCGTAGTCAATGAAGTTGATTCAGATTGATGAATTCCATTCAACTGATTGTGCCACAATGATCCATAGTGTTGCGATTTGGTCTGTACACAATCGATACTTACAAAATCCAGCCTGTTGATCTAGAAATTGAGGATCCGAAGTATCTTGCGTAGACAAGATCTTGTAGGTCTCCTTCCTAACTATTAATTTCTATTCCGAACTCACTGAGTTTATAGATTGTTTGTAATTGTGTTAAGTATATTTTTTGTCTAGCATACACTCTAAATCTCTATATTTGATGGCGAATCGTTTGTTTAGTGTAATATGATTCCAGTTTGTGTATAGCGTGTCGATGGAGTACCCAGTCAATCGATAGCATATAATCTCATTCACGAAAATAAAATTTCAAAATATTAATGATTCAAAAATATTATCAGGATACTGAGATTCAATTATTGACAGTTTGAGATGGAGAACGTACAACAATATCACAAATGATTTTACTGGTAATCATGAAAAACAACGATATGGTTATTAAGCAAGTAAGAAACAGTGGATAGTTTGAGCATTACTATTAAGTTCAGCTTTAAAACACGAACCTTACATGATTTAAATTAAAAGTAAGTAATTATCAACTGACTGATTATTGAGTAATGACCAATTTTATGTTTAGTTAAGCTTTTTATATTGATTGGATTTTATTGAACAAGTCAAAATAAGTGCTACTAGTTTAACTGACTTCATATTGCACGAATACTATGTTTTGATAGTAGGTTGTCTCCAGGAAACCCTGAATCTATATTTCGTGTTGATTGAGACTCGTTAGCAAGGTGCACAAGTTTCCTCAACATTACGAGTACGGTTTCTTAAGAAGTGTTGATGAGCATGAGAACTTGATCAAGTAGGGTTTTCTGTTGAGAACTCCTGTCCACTTTAACAATCCAAAAAAGGGCAAAAACTACTACTACAATAAAAAAAACTTCTAACCTGACATCCTTCCATAATCGATAAATTCGAACAATAATTCGATCATAAGCAGATTTCACTGGACATTGTAGGGAATGATTTAAAAGTTGTTTAACATTCATTGATACATTGATTGTTGTACCCTTTGATATATCTTGTGAAATATTAAGATGATTTAACCAGAAACGATTAACAAATGCATAATCATCTGTACGTATTTGACAAGTTCCATCAGGACTACCCAATGTCCAAAATTCATGTTCACCTTTCACTAGTGTATCTTGTAAGTCAAATACAGCATCTACATCGTTTAAACTCATCGCTGCAGATAATGAACGAGGATATTCCTTTATAATCAAAAAATATTAATCATAAAAATTATTGAGATGGTGAGAAATATTTGAAGTAATGAAAAGATAAAAAAATATGACATTTACGTAGAGAGATATTGTCTAGAAAAATCGATTTATTCGTTCTAAACTATATAGTGGTTAGTTAATTAATTAGCTAGGCAACGAACCAAAAATAGACCAACAAAGAAGTGGAAATGAATCGATGCATTTCAAATAGGTCATGAAAAACTGTTCATAACTTCTAAGTAATATAGAACTAGGCGAATATGAGTGCATTGATTCACATTGCCACAACACATCACCATACAAAGATGACGAAGTAGCTAGAGTAGTAACCGTATTTCTGGTAATAAAAAAACAAACTATAGATTATATGATTCAAAGAAAAATGAACTGTCAATATCAGGTTGTGAAAATTGTTGAATTTTATTGAAATCTCGAACTGATCCAAGTTAGACAACCAATGAGAACGTGAAATCATAAGACAGTCGTTTCGTCCTGAAATGGGATTCTTCGGCAGTGTACATCCATAACCTCATCATCAAGAATCGAACCCAAAACCTTCGAGCTCGAGTGGGCACGCTTAATATCCAAACCACGTGGAAGGGATCCAATGGTGCAAAAGTTTGACTTCAATTAGTCCACGATATTGCACAGCCATCTCCCATTTTTACCTTTTTTACACCTGACACCATTGAACTCCACTGGTCACAGCTTTTTATGAGAACTCCGGAAACTTCCACACGAGGAGTGTTACTAGTGAGCACATGATAATTTTAGTATGTGGTTGTGTAGATTGTTGCAGTTGTGTAGACGAACATTTGGGGAGTCCTATATGAGGACGAAACGGCCATCCACTGATTTCAATTTGTCTAAATTGATCTGTTCATGAATTTAATAAAATAAAAGTCGGCGGAATAAACTGGTGGGTTTAAAGATAAGAGAGAATTTATCAATGCCATTGTACTCACAACTGAAGTTTGCCACCTAACATCAACAGAAAACATGTGAAACCCAACTGCTTCAGTCGAACAATCAATGACTTCATGAATTAATGCTAGATTTTAGCTGCTCACAACCTAGTATATTAAGTCCTAACTCGGCTGTTCCACGAAATGTGAATATTTCGAACGCACAAACAATCATGTACTAACAAAATGGGAATGTCGTTTACTCTCGAAGTCTACTTTTCACTCGTATAGTATAACATAACATAATGTTAAACAGTATACTTATTATTCATTTAACAGATGGAAATGATGGAAATTCCTAAGAAGGAGGAAAAATACAATGAAACATACTTTTGTTAAATTATCCAACTTCAAGCACACTGGACATATATAAGGAGCATCAACTTCTCGATCATCTTCACCTTTCACATCTACCTCGCCTGTATTACCTCCACCACCACCACCAACAGCTTGTGCAGCAATTAACGCGGTTTGACATAAACAAACTAAGTTTGAATTTAATCCTTTAGAGGAATCATTACGAATAGCCAGACTAAGTGCCCACCATAAACATGGTAGATGTTGCCAAGATGCACATAAATCACATTGAACCATAACATGACCACCTTCAACACGAAAACCACACAAGCAGCGAATAACTTCAGCACCACGTTCTAGTGCACGACGATCAGTCTAAGTAATTGAATGAAACAGTGAGATATATTTTATGTAGTCAATATATATATATATACTACTCAACTTTTTGTTATAAGTAACTTCGTGTAGCTTACTATTTCAATGTCTAACGCATTATCAACTGAGCTGATGTATATTTCTGTCTTTATCTGTAAGGTTCGCGTTACACCAAAATTGATATTCACAACATTCACATTGAAGAAATAGTTAGAGGAATACACATACCGCAACAACAATTGGTGAAAACAGCGAGATAACTCAAACTTTCACTAATCATGATTTCAACTCAACTGATATGAAGGTATTTACCTGGCGAACTCCTTAAATAAAATTCACTTGATGATGAATATCACATATAATAAGGACCACCAAATGCCCTGGTACGGCCGGGAGTAGGGAGAGTTCGCTCTCCCTCTCCGAATGCTCTCACACAAATCAATTGAGATTTATGAAGCGCATATTTATCTGGTGCTTCCTTGTACCAATATTTATGTGTTTAAATAAATAAATAAGCATTCTAATGAGCATAGAACATTAACAAACGAAATCAAAGTGAATAGGAATATACCAGAACAATACGATAACAAAATTAGTATCAAATATGAAGGAAAGGAAAAAATGTAACAGTCAACTTACTTTTTTCTTAGAACTGTTATTTTGTGATTTAGTTATACATGGTATAAACGATTTTGGCATTGCAACCGGTATGTGGTTCTCTAATTTTAGACTTTCAACCAAATTAGTCTGCGAAAAAAAACAAGCAGAAACGAACAGTAAACATTGGAAAGTCGAAAGAAAACACACATACATAATCATGTCGATTTTTCTTGGGAATGTTGATGAGTTTGTGCTATTGTAAACAAATAAACACTGAGATAGCAACAACAACAACGTATTAAGACAGATGTTTGCTTTCTGTAAAAGTCAAACTTGAAGAGCGAAAAAAATTTAAAACTCGACAATAAATTACCGACTGATTCGATCATGAAAAGCATGAATTAGGAAAAGCAGAATAAAAATGCTTTTTAACTATAAATTAGCCTATATTCCGTTGTTCAATTGTCATTCAAAAATTTTCAATGTAAACATATGTCACATCAGTACATCGGTTCAAGTTGCCGAAATTCTAATCACAGAATTGGATGAAATTAACAAAAACGGGAAAGATTCAAGCTTTCAAAACTGAAGCGTGTATAATAGTTGTTAACAAAGTGACTTCCTTCACACATACAACTTTACCGCTCATCATCGGGATAATGCGACATCCAAGCTATTCCTATGATTCTGGTTTACAAATAACACTGATAACACAATAACCTGAATGTAGTCTGGTGGATAATATTGTGTTGTTTCAGGCAGAGTGATGACTTTGAGGTAGGGTAATAGTGAGATTACTAGATTTCTGTTAATAACTATGTGAAAGTCTCACTTTACAATAAACACACCTACTTTTTTCGTTTCAATGTCTACGTGACCTTTTTGATTGCCTGACAGTTTAAGTTCGTTAATATTCTGTGTAATTTAGCCTCAAGTACTCATTATTAGATTGTATTATTTCAGGTTGTTCTGAATATTAAGCTACATTTCGACTTTCTACTATGTCAGTGGTTAATCATAGAAGTGTTTTGTGTCAGCAGCTGTTATCAAGCCCTAAAAAGAACTGTTCATATTAAAAATTTGTAAGTAAGAAATGAGGAATATATATCAGAACCATGCCATTTCATTGCTAGCAGCCATAAAACGAAAAAAAAGTCACTAATGGAGTGAAGTCTAAGTGTTCGGGTACAGAACCGAAGATTCTGGGTTCGAGTCCCGTGTGTGGAGCTGTAAATGAGTACCGGTAGGTATTCGTTCACACTAAAACGGAACGGCCGTCCGGTGCTTTCAAGCTTTTAATGGTGGTTTTGCTTAGATAGACTCTTGATTTCAATTGTAGAAAAGCTGTGTTACTTCAAAATGAATGAAAAATAAATTAATAGATTGTAATCAATAAGCCGAAGAGCTTTTAATTGATATACATACACAGAATAGTAGTTTGCTGGATATCAGATACTTAGAATAAGTATAGTATTTAATATATTAATGAACAGGTTTATTCCATCTTAATTAAACATTCGATCTTCAATTAAAGTTTCGAAGATTGGGAAGCAAAAAACAGTGTTCCTTCTAAACAACTACTCAGTATTATATAACTCATTAAACATCAAGTATTGATCACAGCATAGTATATAATGTCATACATGAGCAAACAGATAAATCCCTAATGTTCTGTCACAGAAGGGACAGAGTTTCCATTACTAAACAAACAGAGAAATGTACTACTCAAACTTTAATGGGAAGCAAAACTTCAGAGCATGATGAAAATAGCTGTCCAGAACCCTAGAGAAGCGAAAGTTAACAAACGTGAAAATCCACCATTATCTATCAGGAATAAGGGTGTATCTGATCTTATCCGTTATGTGAGATAAAACTGAAATTCATGTAACAGTAAATAATTGTCAGAAAATTTTCGACTAAACTTGAGAGTACCACATAAATGATCAACGACAGGTATCAACCTAATACAAACAGAAGAAAAAAAAACCACTTACACGATGTTTTATATAAACACTTTTTAGTTTCATTAAACGTCGACCAAACCAACTACGACGTCCAGTGAAAGCTTCCCAAACATTGAACATATTATCCATTGCTATATCTAATGAATATAAACCTTCCATAATATCAGTATCTGTAACTATCAGAAAATGATTTTGCTCTTTTTCTGACAGATCAATATTTAAATGATGTGCCAAAGTGTCATCACTATTCAATGATTGATCTTTTACTGAGTTTAAAATAAATCGTGACGCAATACTGGCTAAACATAATGAAGGAAATTCAACATGATAAATTTTATCATCATTTAATACTGTATTGCTGGATAAATTGCCAATTGGAGAAAATAGACGATTAGTGAAATCTGATGTAAATTTAACATTTAATCCAGAACCAGATAAATGAGATGATAATGTGAAACGATAAAATTCAGGGTACCTGTTTTAATGTAAACCAGTAAATTGAGAAGAAATAAAACCAATAAATAAAGAAAATTATTAATTTAACTGATATGTAATAATACAAATCTATAATGAATTATTGATTGGAGCACTCGAAAATTCCTCAAAGTACTCAGTAAAAAGGGAAAGAGCTTAAAAAGTTTGTTTTTAAACCAGACTTTAACGGAAAATTCCAGGAAAGAGATGAGTCAGTTAGACATTCAGCTACAACGTAGGACCAGGCACATTTATGCAACCGTTCAAGTTGCCATACCTCGTTAACACAACAAGATGAACAGCGGATTCATAGAAGTAGTTAATTTAGTGGTGGTAGTATATAAAAGATAGGTTGTATATAAGGATATATTATAGGAAGGAAAAAAGTTATGAAGCAATTTCAATCTCAAGGTTTAAGGGAGGATAAAGAGTGTATAGATCTACGCCATTGTGATCGATTCTGAGCGATGTCAACCACAGTCTCCAACCATTGGTTACGATAGTCACGCGGACCCCAATCAGGTAGTCTGCATCTACCAACATGACTCAGACTAGGAGTTAGTGACTTCATGCTATGATGCCATGTTTTGGTTTGGCCCCCCCCTAACTCTTTTCCAACCATCTCCTACACTAGTCAGCATAGCGCGTCGTGGGAATCGGTGTTCAGCCATACGTAACACGTGACCCAACCATCTCAGTCGATGAAGATTCATCGCCCCATCAACTGATTTACCATCATTCCCTAATACCCTGTGTCTAGCCTCACTATTACCTACACAGTGATCCCAGCAGATGCGAGCAAGATTTCTAAGGCATCTGTGGTCAAATACTAGTAACTTACAAGTATCTTCTACTCTTAATGGTCACGTTTCGCGGCCGTGAAGTAGAACAGAACGAATTTTTGCGCAGTATACTCGTCCTTTAATTGATAGACGGATATCTCGTTTTCGAGATATGCATGATTACTTATTTAGTGATTAAATTTAGTGTCCTTCTAGAAACCTTCAGAAAGCCAAGGTCATACATAAACCTGTAAGTTTTATGTCTATAAACTAACCTTAAAAATGACCCCTCTTATTTTACATTACACATTTTCTGTCTACCATTTTACAAGTCAATAAAACTCTGAGAAACTAGTGACCAGTTAAGAAATCATAAGAGTTTTCATTAAATACATACACTAATTAACATCATACAACCAAAATAATGGTAGTAATTTAAAAAGAGTGAGAGAAAAAGAACAATGACCTAATATGTTCACAATAACAGTAAATAACTGATACAATTCAACTGACAAGAGGTTTACATACTGTGGAAGTTATTTTTTTATAATAATTTCTTGAGAAAAACACTCATTTAATTGTGAGAAATCCTTGATTGAAGATTTTGTAACAATTATTAGTCATCATATGAAGTGAACGAAAGTTCAGATAGGGAAAACCGATTTATTGCTTAATGTAAAATCATGTAATGTAAATTGCATGGTTGAAGACTCTAGGAAACATGGCTCAGAATCAATCACAATGGTTTAGATGCATACACTCTTTATGTTCCCTCAAACCTTGAGATTAAAATTTCTTCATGACCTTCTTCCTTCCTATACTATATCCTTATATACAACCTTTCTTTTATATATTACCATCACTAAATTAACTACTATGAATACACTGTTTATCTTGTTGTGTTAATGAGTGAAGTATAGCAACTTGGACCGATGCATAAATGTGCCTGGTCCTACGTTGTAGCTGACTGACTAACTGATGCAATGTGAAATATAAAAATTATACATTGAATCTAGCATTTATACATCATTCTTTAATTCTCCTTTACATACTTTATGATTCTTCCAATTCAGTTGTTATTATAATTGTTTTCCGTTTATATTCCTGTTCTGCTCAACTAAAATTTCTGTAGGTACGCATTCCACTTCTGATTGTTGTTACATACTTCTTCTATTTGTCAACATAAGTAGCAGTCACAACAAGTTATATTCACGAGAAAATTTATTACAAATACATACGAAATCTGCATACGATCAAATAATGTTACGTAATCCCACAATTGTTTAAAAGACACTATTTAGCAACACAAAATTATTAATTACCTTTCAGGTGATGGTAAATATATAATAGGAGCACAAAGACGATAATTTGGTTCTAGAGGATCAGGTTCATCAAGAAATTTACAGAATAATTCATACAATGGACCACTTGAACAACGATCTTTAAGAAATGTAATCTGTTCCGAACTATAAGAGAAAAAAATTAAAGGTAAAATGAAAACAAATGGAAACAGTTCATTAGAATATCATTAATTGAGCGAAGGCGAATTAAAATAAACTCGTCAGAATTTGAAGTATTACTCATGATAGTCAATACTATAAGAGTTCCAGAACTTTATAAATATTTGTATGATGTAGACCGCACATTAGTGCACCAGAAGAAAAGTTATGTGCCCAAACTTTTATAGTATAAACTTCGTCGAGATAGGATATACGTTGATTTCGTAAGAGTTCAACACTTGAACATTGATTCCATGAATTAAACATTGTGGCAACAGATAATATAGTTAACCAAATACAAGGATGTGAAGATTGATCTCAACAGCTAACCATCAGAGACGAAAACATGTACGTGGTCTCTTAAGAAGCTATGGAACTAGTTATGTTGTTCTAAGTTGATTCGTCAGTAAGTCTTCATCAAAAGACAGGTGAGTTACACTGGAAACAGCACATAATATAGTCAAGTAGATATATATATATATATATAAACTCCAAAAGATGATATTTGATATTTAAAAAAGTAGCAATTACCTGGATATGGCAGAATCTTTGAAAAAACTATTACGACTAGGTAAACGACAATGTTGCTTATTTATTATTGTTGATGAAGTATCCAAACTTAGAATAGATGAATTAGTCATACTTTTGATTGTCAAATGATCGACTTCAGATTTCATTTTAATGCTAGATTGTAAAGAGTTCTTTTTGTTTGTCTGTTTTATCGATAGCGATTTTGATGGCTTTATTGACATTGTTAAGGCGTTATTTGAATCGGATTGAGAATGGGATGTAGCATTATTATCAGTCTACAAATAAATAATTAAAATTTTTTAATATGATGGATAATAAAAGTGAAGTAAAAATAGAAACTTTGGAGCTATGTTATCAAATTAGATCAAGAGTAGAATAAAGGGATGAGATTTAAAATAACTGTGACAAATTTTCCGTTGGTTTCTAACCGATCAGAACAGAACATTTTTTTTTAAGATGGACGGTTTATGGACGAAACAATAATACTACAGTGCAAAAATAGTTGTTACATACTTATTAGAATTAATAATATCTCTAATGTGTTACTCCGACTATAAATCGAGAAAACAAAGGCATATAAATTTGTTCATATGGATATAGATTATTTGTCTGTTCTATTTTCTATGGGTATGCATATTGTTCTTGATTAAGTCAGGCATACCAAGTAGGGATTATGGGTTAAAAGAGTTATCATAAACTGATATCGATTATAAATACAACTTTTCGCCGTCATTTTGCACGTTTAAAGTCATATAAAAAACCATATCTATTGTTTATCATTTTTTAACTTTGTGCAGATCCTTAAAAGTCACATTTTCGATCCTAATTTATTCATCGCTTTTACCGAAATTAACCTTAACACAATAAATTATTTTTAACCTGCTACATCTAGCATGAACAAATATATTTCAAATAATATTTTTGAACTACACTATATGTATGTGTAAAATGATTACCAATCCTTGCCCCTAAATGCCCTAGTACGGCCAACAGTGGGGAGAGTCTGCTCTCCCTCTCCAAATGCTGTCACATGGCAACGCATATATAGCCTATGCCAGGGAAGTCCTACTCACTGCCTTCTCGTGACGGGGGTGTTGTTCACAAAAGTGAGAGGACGAAAAGCGAATGTTCGGTCCGGTGGATGTGGAGTGTCCACCTAGGGGAGTTGGAAAACTCTCATTCCAAACCAATGGTGCACATGGGCTGGCTCCAGTATATTGAAGGAACAAATTCCGTATGAATCAATTGTTGGTCATCGGCTATCATAGGACCGCATCTCCTCACGATGCTCTACTGCCTTGTGGATCAGAACTTTACGTCAAAGGCTCCGGGTGTGGTCCCCTAAGAAAACCACCTGCTTCAGTTTGGGCACCTGAGCAGTATCACAACACTCACACAAATCGAATGAGATTTGTGTGGCGCATATATATTTGGTGCCCTTTTTTACCGATATTTATGTGTTCAAATAAATAAATAAATAAACTGGATTCGTGATATAAACTATTTTTAAGATCATTTACCTGACTATTATCAAAATGGTTCTTAAAAAAAAAGATACTTTAGGCAAATAAAAAGATATAAAGAGCTTCAAGTGACTATCGATAATTGAACAATTAATACTTATAGAGATTGATTAAACTATAAAGCGTTTACTGGTGAACATTTAAACGTTTCTCTATTTGACTGAAATATTAAGTTGAAAATCTCTCGGGTCATATTCAAATTTGTTTTCATGAATATCAACAATAACAACATGTACTTCCAGTTAAAGATGAATTTGAGGTAGGGAGAAAAGCGCCTCTTAAATTCCACTGCTAGCTAGCTTATACTATTTTATGGGAAGTTGTGAAAAATTTACAAACTGAATAAAATACATTCAATATAATTAGATAAATAAATCGAATATGAAAGGAATAAATTACCTCTTTCAATGTTGTATCAATTGGAACTTCAGTAATTCTCATCTGTTGATTTTCAGTACTCTGTTCAGACGACGATTGATGAGTAGCTTCCCCAACCTGTAATGATTCTTGTGGATGTGTAGTGGATGATATCAGTAACGGTGATTCATTAACTGATTGAAGAGGACGACTGAATATGAAAAACAATAATAAAAAGTGAAACATTAATAGAATAAATATTTTCCATAGTCAATGCTAATTAATTACTTAAGTGTATCACATAAAAAGAATTAAAAAAAATAAGATCAACTGAGTGTTACCTTAACAGGAAACTCTGTAAATTGATTAGAGGTAGCTGATAGGAAACCCCATTTAACTTAGAATTTGTATTATTTGGGACATACCAGGAAGTCATAACTATAATCCTGAAGGAGCCGATTCTTCAAGTGAGGTTCGAACCTGCGTCACTATCATTGCAACATAATCGATAGAATTTAGTCAGGGCATGACGCTAGTCACTACTCAGTAACCAATCAATGTAGACAGAAACATGTATGAAGGATGGACTGTTGTTTTCGAAATAACTGTATATTCGTTTATTAACCAAGTATTTTTGACTGATAATATAGGAATTAACAAACTAAGAATTTGAAAACAATCAATACTTACGATTTTAATGCTTTATCAAAAAATACGTTTTTTGCAGATTGTGTTTCTTAACGCATTTTGTGTCAAACCTTCGAATAGTACTAACGGATTATATGCATATGATCAATTCATTTTATATATCTAAGCCTATTAAGTCGGTCACAGGTCGAATAACTCAGTGATAATGTTTTGAACTATGAAGCTTGGATAATTCGATATAGAATCTCACAGATACAACTTGCTGAGAAGTATCAACGAAATCTCGAGGAAAAATACACCAGTGGTGATCACCTATATGAGGGAAGAGTGATAATCAAATACCTTATAGGTCTAAAAAATGTATATAGCTATTATTTAAGCTAAAGCACAACATACTCTATAATTTGTAAATCGGGTAGGTACACAATTAAATTATAAGTAATTGTTTAATACTCGCTAGTTGCTAACCGACTAAAAGCCAATGAATCATGAAGTACAAAAAAACTACAAACAAAATGACCGAAATATAGGATGAACATTTCTTTGACGTTAGAATCCTCAATCCCCGATTTTTGTCGATAATGATTTCTAAAGGATGATATAATATCCTAAAAACAGTGATAGTAATTAATTGAAATGTTTACAGTAGCCGATATACATACAACTACCTATGAAACAAGACAATTGACAAACCTCGAAATGGAATCCAACATGTTCTCTGAATCCACAGCACCTGAAAATGATAATAGTGTGAAAATATCAATTATGCTATAATTTTCGGTTCACAGAAGAAAAAAAAGAATACCAAATTATACGGTTTGTTGAACTGTATCTTAGATGCCTAGCCTTTTCTATTACAATTAATAAGCTTGTGACTACATTTACACCTGAGATTTACGCAGACAGTTTCGTCCTGCTGTACTAATTGTACTAGAGAGGGATGGCAAGTCGACTGATGAAGTAGTGAAACTTAATCAGTTGAGATGGCTGGGACACATGTTACGTATGCCCAACCACCGACAGCCCCAACGTGCGATGTTTTGTGGCGTAGGAGTAGGTTGGAAAAAAGCTAGGGGCGGTCAGACCAAAACGTGTCACAAATCCATGAAGTCACTGACAATTGGACTGAGCCATGTTGGTAGGTGTAGACTACCTGGTTGGGATCCACGAGATGATATCAATCGATGGTAGGAGGCCTTGAATAACATGGCTCAAAATCGTTTGCAATGACGAAGGTGCATGCACTCTTTGTGTTCTCCCAAATTCTGATCCTCTGAATTCTTCATATTTCTATCTTTTTTCTTTTCCCAAATTTATTTCACTGTATTACGCCCCTTGAATAACATCTTCAAAGCCTAATCTTTCCGATTACTGCTTATACTCTTACTACTTCTACCACTATGGGATTTACATCGACAACTGCATCTCTGTGCTAATGTGGTATAGCAACTCGAACTGATGTACGCATGTACGAAGTTCTACGTTGTGACAGACTGACTGACTAATTGAATATCTCAACCTGGACCGACGTACACATGTGCAACGTTCTATGTTGGGTTTGACTAACTAACCTATTAGTTGAAGAATCATCATCATGAAACTTGAACGATATTGTAAGTTAAAATCTATCACAATTAATAGAATAAAATATAATTGATAATTTGGTTACCATATAAATGAAACAGAATATGGTTACTTCGTACAAAAAAACAGTAAACGGTTATCTTACAAGGTAAATGAAAGCATCAGAAAGCTGCAAAGGGCTAGCTTCTGTTGGTCCTTCACGACTCCCTGGCTGGGGTCCGAGAGATGGTGCAACACAGTGGCTAGAGACGTTATCAGATATGGCTCAGAATAGAAGCCAGTGGCGAACCTGCTGCAACCTTCTTTTACTTTCTACATAAATAATGGTTCTAATTTTCCTAACTGAAAGAGTCTTCTGGTTGTACATTTCAGTCCGCCTTATCTTTTCATCCCTTCTCTTGCTACTTTCATTATTTTGTGTGGCGCATATGTATCTGGTGCCCTTTTGTACCAATATATGTGTGTTTAAATAAATAAATAAAATAAAAGCATCGACAAGTTCAATCGTTTGTTCCGAAAATTCATGTGATTACACAATACAACTTCTGCTAACGAAAATGAAGGTCTATAGGTATAATCATCAGCTAACTAAGGTGTCCAGTACTCTCTATACGTGAACCAAATAATCGATCAAAACACAATACTACTAGCCAAAAAGCAATTGTTTATTGAACAGGAACGGCTGATTCGTAAGGACCCATTTTATTATTAATTTAGATTGTTACATCCAGAGACAATCAACATAATTATTACAAAATGTCTAGAAAATAACTAGCTATAAAGTCAGTCTGTTAGTCAGCAATACGCTGCATGCCATTGTCTAGTATGTTAACCGAAATTATCGTGACCATGAAATGTAACAAGCAGTGAACAGAAATTCAATGAAATGAAATATAATGAAACTGACTTCGATTTAGCATATGTTCAGCAACGGGTAATTGAACAGGTCTCTGCTTAGGAGGGCGACCCCGACCTCGAGATACAGTTGGCTTACAAGCTTGTGTCTCTGATGTCCCGATTTGTTGTTGTTGTTCAACCCAACCGATATTTGTAGTAGGAGACGGTAAACTCCCAGTTTCCGACCTAACATTAATAGTTTCCGGTGTTTCTGGTGCGGAATTAATAGCGGCACCAGTATTATTTAAGTTTGCCGCAACTAAACTAGCGAATCCCATCGCTGCCGCCTAGAAGATCAATGGCATAAAAAACGAAACAGTGAAATGAAAGTTAATATCAATGAAAAAAACCTGCTCATTGTAATCATAAACCGATTAATGTTAGACGACCATTGAAAACCTGGAGAAACTGAAAAGCTGTTTTGCCCTAGCACGGGACTTTTCATCAGTGCGCATCCACGATCCCGCACATGGGATTCGAAAACACAACCTTCACAACTTTGTGCGCGAACAATTAATCACTAAGCTAAGGTCCCACGGTATCGATGTCAAACCTCAATCAATCCATAACATTGAGCGATCATCTTCCACTGTCTTTGGTCGGTAAATGCATCACATAACATACGGTTGAACTCCACTGGTCATGGTTTTTCGTCAGAATACATAAGATTCTTTCTGGAAACTAGGCGCTAGCGAGCGCACGATAATTATCAGTATAAGGTCGTGGAGATTATGGATTTCTGAGTTATTTAAGTGACAACATACAAAATCACCTATCAAAGTCGTTTGATTGTTAAATTGCTAAATGATCTTAAGAGTTTAAATTGAGTAAAAATGTACATTTAGAACAACAGATTTTTCATTAATAAATTCCACTACATTGTACTGATCACATCAAATTTCGAATAGAGACTCTGAAATTTTCGCAAGCAAGTCAAAACCCATTTTAACTAAAGCCAAGTAATCAATCTCTGTATTTAGTTCTGAAAACGTTGGAAAGTTGATAAATTTATCTTTTGTGCAACCAAACATAATAAATAATGACGTGGTGTGTAAGCTTAATTGCAAGAAACGCCTAGGTTTTTTTGGTACGGGTTGGATTTAAAACGCTAATTGAAATCATGATTCAATTGAAGCTAGACCACCATGGAAAACCTGGAAGCACTCGACGGCCGTTTCGTCCTATTATGGGACTTCTCAGCAGTGCACATCCACGATCCCGCACCCGCCAGCGAGATTGGAACTCACGACTTATGATTTCGACTATGAAAATACTTAAATCTCCACAAAACCGCTTCTGAAATATTTTTATGTTTAAATAAATAAATAAATCTTGAATAATACAAAATTTTCACATTAGGTAAGTGATTAACAATTAGACATAGAATTTTACTGTGTTACTACTGTGGGTGTTAACGATTTTAACAACAAGTGGTTAACAGATGATGATAATGGTATTTAATAAATTTACATTTTCAGCAATCAGAAACTGTACTTTTCATATGAATAAACTGACTAAAGGAGTGCTGATATTTATCAGCATCCACATTAAATCATTGATATGATGAAATACTTATAGTGAATATTTTAATAGGTATTGATTGCTTTCGAAAAGTTATTTGTTACTCGCACATACATGTACATGTAATTACATGTCATCGTCGAACAGATTCCAGTTAAGTTGATTTTTAATAGTATAGCTAACGTTTTAAATGAAAAACAATCACTAATTAGTGAATATGACATTCCAAATTACCTCACGTTTTGGTCGATCACAAGTTACTGAAACTGAGTCAGAGGAAGATAAGCAAGGGGAAACTGGTATACTACTATTGCTTTCCAGTATTTCTAAGCGTCTAGATGGACGACCTCGACCACGTTTTCTGTGTTCAGGTTTTGATAGAGGGATATCAGTATTTCCAAGATGACAAACCCCAGTACTTGAGGAATTATCCGTTAAATCTATGACAGTTACAGACAAGTCAGGCTCATTGAAACCTGATTTAGAGAAATCTCTGAAACTATCTTTATCCAAATCAGAGGAAGCATGGTTTTCATTAGTGTTAGATGTATCTATTCCCACCTTGTAGCGTTTTCGAGGAGGAAGAACTGAGCTACGCGAAGTAGCGGAACGTCTTACGTTGCTTGGAAGTGATGATGAGGCGGAATTAGGCAAAATATCACAGGCATCGAGAACTTCAGTTTCCTGGAGACGTACAGACTGTTCCACGAAGTTGGGATCATCAAGCATTGGATCTGTACTTGTAATGACACCATGTTGTGTTTGTCGTTTACGCTTCGCAGAAGGAACTGGAAGAGATGAGACGGATAAAGAGGCGTCAGGTTGTTGCCGAGTGTCGACAGTAACAGAACTTTGGGATACTGAATCATTAGGTATATATTGTTCCGGGTGGCGACCCGTATCAGAAGGATGGGATTTAAACAATCGGTTAGTTTTGTACTTCTTTTTACGACGACCCGGTGATTTTAAGGGACTGATATTCCGTTTAACTGTAGTTGACGACTGATATACACCGTCATCAAGTTGTTCGAATGAAACATGCTGTGATTCGTTTGGTTCTTGTTCTACAGAAATTGGAGAATATTGGGTAACGCAGGCAGACTCCATTTCGCTCGCATCTGAGGTGACTGAAAACGTACGCTGAAAGCGAGAGAAACAGCAATATTTTGAAGAGGGTTACAACAGATGAATTTTAATCAGATAATAAGTTTGAAGGGAACCAGTGAATTAGTTCGCTAAAACCTGACCATATATATATATATATATATATATAATTAACTGACAATACAATGGATGATAAACGTGATCTTAGACAACCTTCGAAAACCATTAATTAGTAGACAAATATATCATCGGCGTCATCAGGCTCTACAGAAGCGTACATCTACGAACCCGCTAGGGATCTGACCTCATGACTTTTAGGTTTCTCTATGAGTGCTTAACTTTTAAAATTTTGAGCCAGCAACCAATAAATTTTTAACATACATCATCAGATTGTGCAAATATGGTCCATCGCCACTAAATGAGATTTGTCACAAACCCGACACGATTGAGCTACATTAGTAACAGATTTAAACTAGAACTCTAGGAACTACCTCTCGAAGCTCGTTAATAGTCAGGATATAGTGATTCTTATCAAGAGGAAATGAAGAGATTGTTGAATTTCGTAATTTACATTAAACGTTGGTAAAGAAACTTTACAAAATCATGAAAATGTTTTGATCAAGTATTCTGTAAAATTCACCAACTACATAGTTAATAATGACATGAAACTAAATAAGATTGTAGTAATCAGTGATATAAACATAGATGATAAGCATGAATCTAGAAATTTGTACTTGTCATTTCAAAATATTCATGCACATAGAAAAATTACTTACTTTCCGATCACAATCTGAATGATTTAATCGAGATCCAACTGCATTATTTCCAGTAGACGGTTTATTGTCAACTGTTGTTCCATGAATGGTTGTTTTTTGAACTGAAATTATATTATCCGACGATACACTTGATACTTCAGTACTATGTCCAGAATATGCAACTACTGAAGATGTTTCACTGGGTTTCACATGACAATTTATTTCATAATTAGTGTGTTCGGAAGCTTTAAATTAAATAAAAATAATGGGGTGAAGTGATTAGTTGATAAATATGTAGTCGGGAAGACTATCACATATACCATACGATGGTTAAAAAAAGTACACAAACATTATTTGTTCGAAATTTTCTAATTAAGACAACATGTTTAATGTCAAAAAAAATACAAACTTTAGACCTTTATCGGATAAAAGTCCTTCACTGAATAAACATAAAATTAGGGTTTCATAAACCTTACTGATACAAAATCATAGAAACCAAACAAAGCATGTAACTGCAAATATAACTATCAGTAAGTGATTGTGGAGACTGTTAGTTTTTAAGATTATGAATCGATTGTGGTTAGACTACTGTTGAAAACGGGGACGCTAGTTCAGTGGTCTAAAGGTTAAGCGTTCGCTCGCGAGACCAAAGGTCTTGGGTTGGAATCACACGTGCAGAATCGTGGGTGCGCACTGCCGAAGAGTCACATGTCAGGACGAAACGGCCACCTAGCGCTTTCAAGTTTTCAATGGTGGTCTAACATCGATCGAATCATGATCTGGATTCCAGATTTAGTATTAACATGGGGATCAAGACTAAAGATAGATTTAGTTGGTCAGTCCTAAATTAAACCAAAATGTACTCCTAGATTCCACTATTCGTCACCATTCAACTTTAATGAAAGATATGCAAGTTATTTTACTGAAAATCGGTGGTAGAATTTTTGCTAAAATGATTAAACATAGATAACACTAGAAATAAGAGACTTTTTAGAACCCACATTAGAATTATCTTAACTGTACACTGTTGGGTTTGAAATAGGTGTGTGTGAATATCATTATATCATGTGAATCAATAAACGCCAATAAGATCTAAGTACAGATTCATACTTTCAGCTTTGAGTCACGCTTTCTGCATAAAAACCAATGGCACTATCCGGTTACTTAAACGGAAATAGAGGGCGAAGTTCGGACGAGCGACCTAGTGACTGAAGGTTAAACGCCATAGCTACTAAGCCACCGCTCGTAAGATCTATCTGAGTGGGATAAAATATTTTACTCTTTAGCTCAGGACAAATAAAAAAACATTAAAAATATTTTAATCACACACAAAATATGTGGAGTGATAAATATGAGAATTCCAATTGAGTGTGCATGAATTTTCATGTTACAGATGGTCAAGGAGATTGTGTACTAGGCAGATAATGAAATTTAACACTCGAATAAAATCGTTTATATTTACCCTACTTTAATGAATACTAAAATTCAATTAGACAACAGATTTTTTAAAAACCCACCAGCAATTGTAGTTTGCATGGAAGCAGCATCAGAGCCTACAGTTGAATGTGTCACATGGCTGGGAACACTGCCGCTAGTTTGTCGAGTCCTGCGAAGTTTAGGAGTTAGACCCTCTTCTTCTACAGAGGCTATAAAATCCGTTACAACTGATAACGTCACCTCAGATGGATGAAGTGAGGCAGAACCTCCTTTAGCTTCGATGTCTTTTAATTCCTGTTCACGTTTGCGTTGTTCGGCCATTACAGCGTCCCAAGTGACAAGACCACGAAGTTCACGTGAAACACGAGATTTCCCTGGGAAAAAACCACACGTAAACACTGATATGAGAACGTGAAATTTCTTGAAAATACGTAAAACAATTATTGTAACTTAAAATGATTACACTACTACTAAGTAGTTTATGTTTTGTCCCAATATATTTCTTTCCATTTCGTATTGCCTTTTTAAAAATTTACTCACATCTCGTTGATGACTGGGGCTACATTTTTGTGTAGTTTACATCAAATGTTTATAGCGTAACTACATTTAGCATAGTTTTGTAATTCATAAAATCGAAAATTGTTGGAATCAATAAACTGGTACTGTAGGCAACTACTATCCATTTCATAACACTTAATTTAAGCTTTACAATGACATACTCTATGTATAAACACAGAGAACTTTGTTGTTTTAATCAGACAGTAGATCACAAAAAACACAGCTTTGGCAATTTACTAGCGATTCTACACACAATAATGAATTCACAAGGTCAGGGAATGTCTACCGTATTCAGAGCATCCTATATCATCCATCTTCTGCTTGCTATGATGCTAATAAGTCCAAAAACTGAACTCAGATAAGGATGCTGGATAGGACAGGGAAATATATGATGAAGACAAAGAAGATACCCTACTGTTATCGATCAACATTTGCTTGTAAAAGATTATTGTGACTGAAAACATTGAAAACCATAAGAGCGGAATGACACACACAATAAGTCCTTAAATGGTTAACATACTTTATGCAAGTAAAACGTAGAGGCAGAGAACATTCTTAGCTCGCTAATACTTGAATATATATATATTACCGAAGTGTCGTTCGTGTATGGCAGAACTATCGAGTGAACCTGATATGTTTGGATGTAGGTTATAGAGTAAAAATAATAAATCTATTGATGTAACTGTGAGTCTTTATCGACTAAGTTGACTGACACGTAATACGTAAGCCAACGGTCGCCTAATTCCAGAACCAATGTTGGTAGCAGTGGGGGTAGATTGTAAGAAAACTAGGGATGGGCGAGTCAGGACGTGGAATCAGCATTTTGAAACCACTGATTGTCGGATTGAGATGTTAATAACTACAGAATATCTGGTTAGGGTTCGCCTATTAACCACGGTAAGTATTTAGAGTAGCATGATGAAATGGATTGAAATCGGTGGCAGCAGCAGAAATCTCACTATATATATATATATATATATATATATATATATATATATATGCACTATTGTTGATACTACTATAATCCAGACACTTGTCATTCATTTTGCGAACTCCGTTTTGCTGTACTGCAACAACATGACAACTCGCATTGCTGAACATTTGTTCCAGGCTCTAAGATAATTATATTTGACTGATTTTTTGATTTTTTGAAAACTTAACTCACAGTAATCAATAAATGTAATTATTACTAACCGACACGATTATCAAAACTTCAGTTCTTTACAACAGAACAATTTGTATCGGTGACAGTTTCTAATCTAACTGACAGGAAGTGGAAACTAAAGTACACTTATAAATACAATAATCAAAACTATGTATTTTGCAAGAAATTACTGATTGAAAACTACACGAGCTTACCTTTAGAAGTTGATTTAGGCATTCGAATCACATGTTGACTAGTTTCTACGTGTTCATTGTTAGTTGGATTTGATGATGATGAAACAAGACTAGTATTTGTTAAGGGAATCGATTCAGATGTACCGACTGTATTCGACTTTACAGATGAAAAATTACGGTGAAATCCATGGTGTTTTTTACCTCTACCTCGACGTCTTGTTAAACTTGAAACTAATGTAGGTGTGACAGTAGTATTTTCGCCAAGTTTAAAATTCAACTTCGAAGCAGAATCTTCAGTAAGATTTGAAATAAACTTTGAATCATTTTGACTTACATCTTCAGCTGTCTTAATAAGAGGTAGCTGATTAGAATTTTTAATCTCAGAGGGTGTTATTGTAGGATGACCAAGATTTTGTACATTAGAATTTAATGGAGATGTTAATTGTTTCGACTGATTATCGAAAGCACTAGTAGAATAATCTTGTTTATCTGATGTTAAATCTATAAGTTGAATAGATTTTTTAGACAAGTGATCAGTTTCTATTGGATTTTTTAATGTAGCCGCCAACAGACGACGCATATTCACCTAACAAAGAAAAATTAACAATTGATCACCATTAATACTTAAATAGAATACGGTAAATAAGGTTACATGATGAATTTCTTCAACTTGTTCATTTCAGATGTACAAAATATTAGTATGCTTGAGTTTGAGTAGCACTTGAAGTGTAAGGGCTCCTGATACGATCGAGCTATTTAAACTGAAGGCAAAGAGAGCTTCAAACGTAAGACTCAATGACTAAAAGTCGACCACCTTAACCACTGATCTATCGTTTCAACTGATAAATATTATATGATCTACTATTATTCCTACTTTTTGACACACAAATATTGACTTTAAGTTTAAACTAAAAAGATTTATAAAAAAAACATGATAGATAGGAGAGCAGACCATTAATCAGTCAACCATCACGTGTTTAACATTTGATCGATTTCTGATTAGTCCGACGCACCAAAATGTTTCTAGTACCAACAGAAAAATATACCATCACAAACAAAATATTAGAATAAGCACAAGTGCCTAGTAAATGAAGGTAATTTATGAAATGGTCAAAACAAGTGATAACTTACAACAAACCGATGTACCCGTGATTCAGGAAGTTGTTGAAGCCACGGTGCACATAATTTTGATTTTAACCCCAAATTATCACCCTCAGGATCTGATGCCACGGGACTTCTTAACGGATTTGGTAGGATAAGAGGTACCCATGACGCCGGAAGAACCGTCTGTTCTGCTGAAGTGATGGAAGTAGGAGAATGAAGACCACCGCGACGAGCACCTCGACCTCTCCGGCCACCTCGGCGTGCCCCGATACCTCTACGGGATGGTGTCTCAGATTGACGTGCGGCTAAAGTAGGAGATGCAGCAACTGGAATTGGTCGGCGAGGTATTGGTTTCATGTCAATCACACAAGTATCTGTATCAAAAGATGTTTTCATGAAAAATAAGTAGAAAATTCGGAAAATCACAATAGACGTCGGTTAACACAGAACCATTGAAACAATAATCATGTACAAAAAACAATGTATTGGTGACTTTAATAAATGAAGTTTTCGTTAAACAAGTATTAGCCGGATAAAGTGAAAACCACAGAATAGTAGCCATACTTAATCGCCGACTCTGATGATCAACAATTTGCAAACGGTTAGAACTAGTATCAGTCTAATTATGTTTATGGTCCGAAGGCGAAGTCGTACTGCTGACTGTACAGAGGTGTGACAGCAGTAAGGTGTTTCCTTCAGACAACCAGCATGACAGCGATGCTGCCTTCCCATAAGGAGGGGAGGGGTTAGAAAAGGACGACCCTAAAAATGCACACCTCGCCTTATCCCACGGATTTCCGTCTCCGGCGGTAAGGTCCTCTGAAGAACGGAGCTAACACGTCAAAAATCCCCCACAAAAATGCCGTGCGTGACCAGCCTCAAGCAGTTGTCCCTTGGGCACTGCGGTCACGCTCCCAGGTCATTATGACCAACACTAATCCAACTTATTTTTCAGGTCCCTCAAGAAATACCCTTCCACGGTGTGGGCAGCCGGGAAGTGATAAATGCCCTCATACCCATAACTGCACACGAGACCAAGTTGGTCACTTTCAAATCCTTCCTACACCTAATAACACTCTTATCTCCACGACTAACCCTTCCCACGTCCTTTTATCACCTCGCACCTCTAGGGCAAACGATTCGAGTACACGGAACGTTATTCCTGGTCTCCTGAAACCACGCTCTAAACTACATATAGGAACTTTTAATGTCCGAACATTGTGCCAAATAGAACAGGCTTCCTTAGTTAGGACTTTAGAATCTTACACCATCGATGTGTGCTGCGTCTCCGAAACGCGCATACAAGATCCGAGTAGTGTCATTCATTTGACCTCACCTAATCAAAATAAAGATTCATCTCAATACACGCTTCGTGTATCTGGAAGTCCTGATGCTGCTTCCCGTGGCCTCGCTGGAGTAGGTATAGCATTAAGTCCTAGAAATAGGGCAGAACTAGCTCTTTTAGACTGGATTTCAGTAGACAGTCGTCTATGCGCTGTCCGACTAAACGGATCAGTAAGGACCCGGAAAGATTGGGAAACTCGTCGTTGCCTCTTCGTCGTCTCTGCCTACTCTCCCACTGACTGCAGCTCAGACGATATAAAATATGAGTTCTACAGGAAACTTTCTGACCTTCTCCGAAAAGCTAGGCGTTCTGATGTAGTAATAGTAGCAGGTGACTTTAATGCTCAAGTAGGTAAACTAAGTGAAAGGGAAAGACACCTGGGTGGATCTTATGGTGTCATGGCGAAAAGAACAGATAATGGCGACCGTCTGTTGCAGCTATGCTCAGATAACCGCCTATTTCTTGCAAATACTAACTTTAAGCATAAGGAAAAACATCTTTTGACCTGGCGACCCCCGAATTCGTCCCAACGTTGGACCCAATTAGATCACATCGCTATCAGCCACCGATGGAGGGGCTCGATAGAAGACTGTCGCTCATTCTGGGGCACATGCTTAGATTCAGATCATGCTCTAGTGCGAGCACGTATCTGTCTGCGTCTTACTGGACGTAGGAAAGACAATGCAGGGAAACCTCTAAGAGTTCTACTTAATGATAGGCCAGCTAAGAATATATTTCAGGAACAACTAGAAAAACAGTTAGGCAGCCATGTAAGTTATGCCCACCCCGAGGCAGCATGGAATGACATCCGAAAAGCTGTGTAATCAGCAGTGATATCCGCTAGTAAGGTAAACCATAAGGTTAGGGAGAAACAATGGATCTCGACAGCATCTACCGCACTGATAGATGCTCGTAAACTAATCCCACCTGGCTCTGAACATAACGAAGAGCGGAGTCAACTTAAGCGCAGGCTAATAAGAAGCCTACGTAATGATCGTGAACAGTGGTGGGTAGCGAAAGCAAGAGAGATGGAAAAGGCAGCGGCAATAAGTAACAGTAGGCAGCTATTCAGACTCGTTAAAGAAACCGGTATTAGGAACCCCAATATCAGTGAAACCATCTCAGATAAAGATGGGCATATTATTCATTCTCAATTCAGGAGATTGGATCGATGGGCAGAACACTTTAGGGATCAGTTCAACTGGCCTTCAGCCACACTTCAGTTACCCACGAACCCCAGTCGTCCTGAATGGCAAATTGATGTAAGTCCTCCAACCCTCTGTGAGGTTGAAAAAGCTATAGGAAATCTGAAGCGAGGGAGAGCAGCAGGCCCTGACAGGTTGATACCTGAGATTTTTAAGGATGGTGGTCCAATACTATCAGCGAGATTGACTGAGGTCTTAGGTAGAATCTGGGAACTGGACGTAATTCCATCTGACTGGTCCCAATCACTGATTGTGCCAGTCTATAAGAAAGGACAAAAGTCCTCCTGTGACAATCACAGAGGGATCAGTTTGACTAATATAGTGTCTAAAATATTAGCTTCAATAATACTAGGTCGCCTAACCAAAGCTCGTGAAGAGCAGACTAGAGATAACCAGGCTGGTTTTCGACCTGGACGTGGTTGCATAGACCAGATATTCACCCTACGTCAGGTCCTAGAACATAGACATTCAGACGTCCCACAATAGTAGTATTTCTTGACCTTAAGGCGGTATTTGACTCCGTGGATCGTGAGGTTCTATGGCAGTGTTTGTACCAAAGAAGTACATTAACCTCATAAAGGCTCTCTACTCGAACACAACTGGTCGAGTTAGAGCCTATGGCGAACTGTCATCAGAACTGATTACCACAAGTGGTGTTCGTCAGGGTTGTCCACTCTCCCCATTCTTGTTTAAATTTGTCATTGACATACTTTTATAGATAGCACTTTCATCAGCTAAACCTCCAGGAGTTGAACATTTACCGGGAGGCTCACTTATTGACTTAGAATATGCCGACGACATAGTTTTACTTGGTGAGGACGCTGGCAACATGCAGAGTCTTCTGACCACTATAAGTAACTATGCAGGCATGTTCGGGATGCGATTCTCTCCCTCGAAGTGCAAAATGTTACTTCAGGATTGGGTTGCATCGACACCTGAACTAATGATAGGGAGTGAAGTAGTTGAGCGTGCAGACCACTTCACTTATCTTGGGAGTCTCATCAGCCCTTTTGGCCTGGTATGTGACGAAATCTCAGCACGGATACAGAACGCTCGTCTAGCTTTCGCCAACTTGCGTCATTCATGGCGTAGGCGAGATATCCGTCTAGCAACCAAAGGACGTGTTCACTGTGCAGTAGTTCGCTCCATCCTACTTCATGGTAGTCAAACATGGTCGATAAGAGTAGAGGATATTCGTAGGCTACTATTTTGATCAGAGGTGTCTTCGAAGCATTGCTCGTATATCCTGGGACCACCGGGTAAGTAATGCAGTTGTTAGGAAACGAGTACTAGGTAAGGATGGCTAATCGATTGATGAAGTAGTGAAACTTAATCAGTTGAGATGGCTGGGACATGTGTTACGTATGCCCAACCACCGACTGCCCCGACGTGCAATGTTTCATGCTGTAGGAGTAGGTTGGAAAAAAGCTAGAGGCGGTCAGACCAAAACGTGGCACAAATCAATGAAGTCAGTGACAAGTGGACTGAGCCATGTTGGTAGGTGTAGACTACCTGGTTGGGATTCGCGAGATGATAGCTACCGATGGTTAGAGACCTTGAATGACATGGCTCAAAATCGTTTGCAATGGCGAAGGTGTATCCACTCTTTGTGTTCTACCAACTTCTAATCTTCTGAATTCCTCATGCCTCGACCTTTTTCTCTTTCCAAATTTATTTCACAGTACTATACTCCTTCAATAATTTCTTCAAACCCTAATCTTTTGGATTTCTGGTTATACTCCTACTACTTCTACCACTATGGGATTTACATCGACAACTGCATCTCTGTGCTAATGTGGTATGGCAACTCGAACTGATGTACGTACGTACGAAGTTCTACGTTGTGACTGACTGACTGACTGATGTTTATGGTTTTGGGGATAATGTTTAAGATCCTAGAAAGACAACAGATGAACATTAAACACAATAATCTTTACTCCGTGGCAATTTAATGACTACCCTGTTTTTCCCACGCATCCGATCGGTAACTTAAGAATAGAGGCCAGTAATGACTGATGTTCCAATATATATATATATATATATATATATATATATATATATATATATATATGACTGTTTTGGCGTTAAAACGCTTTTACAAAATAAATTAATGAAAAGGCGGACCGTATTCACATCGAAAATATCAGAAAAAAGAACACACCCACTTCACATAATTAAACAATTAAAAGGCACGGAGCTATAAAATCACACATTATAAACACTACTAGTAGTTAAGTATGAAACTTACCCTTCAAATGAATAGCCAATTCATCGATAGCAGCGATCACTGTCTCGTCTACAGTGGATGGTTTCTTTTTAGTCTGCTTTAATAACGCTTTTAGTTCACGTTTATTGACTTTTCTTTGAGTATGCGATGTACTGTTGTAATCCACTGTGACTAAAACATACGCGCACAAATACAAATTTAAGAATTGAGACTTTAAGAGTAACCAACCATAAAGAGTAAAACGAATGAAGAAGCATGAAACATCCGAATCTTCATACAAAATACAAACTATAAAAATAATGTAATTCAATTTCTTTGCTTCGGCTTAGTTGGAGATATTATATTCTACCTAGTTAATTAGATGTTCTTACTTCATTTTAAAATTACGTGTTGATTTAATTGGGCGAGTAGTGTGAAAGTATAACTACAAAGATCGTTTACACTTTTTATCACATAATTAGTAAAATCTCAGACTGTTGTATTTTTAATGTGTCTACCTTTAAGCTTCCATTTAATGCATAAACTGTTGTTATGTTCTATTGTTCCAGATTTCTAATTATTTCCTTATTACTGCCCCCAAATGCCCTGGTACAGCCGAGAGTGGGGAGAGTCCGTTCTCCTTCTCCAAATGCTCACACATGGACACGCATATATGGCCTCTACCAGGGAAGTCCTACTTACTGCCTTCTCGTGGTGGAGGTGTTGTTCACAAAAGTGAGAGGACGAAAAGCGAATGTCCGGCGCTTTAACCGGGTTGATGGACATGGAAAGTTCACCTAGGGGAGTTGGAAAACCCTCATTCCAAACCAATGGTGCACATGGGCTCCAGTATCCTGAGGGAACAAATGGCGTACAAATCAACCGTTGATCACCGGCTACCATGGGACTGCATCTCCTCATGATGCTCCACTGCCTTGTGGATCAGACATTCAGGTCAAAGGCTCTGGGTGTGGCCTCCTAAGAAAACCACCTGCTTCAGTCTGGGCACCTGAGCAGTATTACAGCCCTCACACAAATCGAATGAGATTTGTGAGGCGCATATTTATCTGGTGCTTCCTTGTACGAATATTTATGTGTTTAAATAAATAAATAAATTACTGCGAATTTGTATTCATGACTGAGTTATGTACACATAATTTTCTAATTGTGTTGTTATATAGTCAGACGTTGAAAGTATATTAGTATATGAATTTTGAGTTGTGATCGAACACAGGGTTATGGTGAAATAAACTGCCTTCTATCTTCGTCTTCTGACTGGACACTGAAGTTAGAAGGAACTCGAGAAAAACAATAAGCGTTAATGTCTCAATTGTAAGTTATAGGTTACTGGGTCACTTGGTAAGTCGGTCACTGGTCCTACTGGTAATGCAGGTGAACTAATCAATATTAAAACCAGAAAATATAACTGCTACTGTAATAGCGACCCGATAACATGGACCCCAATACAATCCAAGTATATAGCCCATTTTATCTGTTGGATCATGTATGTCATAAGATTTATCACTTTTCGCGTCAAACGTGCTTATAATTTCAGACTAAATAATATACCTTAGGGGAATATAGCTCAAAGATTCTATAAGCTACCATCATAAATTACGGTTTTTAACAGCTAGAGAAACCTAGACTAAGCATTCAAAAGAAAAACAAACCGTTGTTTTATATGTAATGAAGAACTTACCCTTGTCTGGTTGACGGGGTTCAACAAAGACTGAATTATGTGATCCGCTGAGATCTTTGGTAGATAAAGGTTCACGAGTAGCTAATGATCAAAATAAAATAAATTGTGAGGAAACATAATGCTTACAGTCATTCACTATTCATTAACATGAGAAATAATTTAAAATTTAAAATGAACTTCCAGTACTAATGAGAATTAGTCACTGACCAATGGAGTTTGAACATTTTGAACATCAGAAAGGTATTACCGATGACAATAGGTTACTCTTTTTATTCATGTACTCGGTGGCCTTGAGTCAGAGTTCAGTTGTGTGATACCACTGGATATGGGCAGACAATTTAAAACTCGAAAAATTGAGAGCCATTCTCTAGTAGATTATTGTATAACCTGATATGGTATATTCAACAAATAGTTTACTGTACTTTTTATACTGCTCTAGGTGCAAACGATAATTTGAATCACTGACTGTTATTGCCTTTCATCGTTCATGAATTACACTTGATTAATTTTACTTACTTATTTATTTAAACACAGAAATATTAGTACTAAGGGCTATCGAATACGTATGAGCCACACAAGTCACTTGATTTTTATGTGGGCTGTGATACTGCCCGGATGCCTAAACCGAAGCAGGTAGTTTTCTTAGGACGCAACACTCGGAGCCTCCGATCCAAAGGTCTGATCCACGAGGTGATGGAGCAACGTCAGGAGAGGTAGTCCCATGGTAACAGGTGACCGACAATTAGTTCATATTCCATTTGTTCCTTCAGGTTGTAGGAGCCCATGTACACCATTGGTTTGGAATGAGGGTTTTCCAACTCCCCTAGGTGAACTTTCCATGTCCGCAAACCCGTTTATAGCGCCGTACATTCGCTTTTTGTCCTCCCAATTTCGTAAACAACACTCCTGGCGCCAGAAGGCAGTGAGTAGTACTTTCGTTGGAGTGGCTGTATACACGTGGTCATGTGAGAGGATTAGGAGAGGGAGAGTTGACTCCCTCCAACTTCGGCTGTACCAGGGCATTTGAGGGTCACCTAATTAACTACTTAACTGTTTAGTTATTTTAGTACCAAAACTGTCTCAGTTTAGTGATGCTTTGTGATCTTTAAATTAATGCATTTAACCATGTGTTTCCGAGTCTTGTTAAAAGATAAGCCAGGAGGTTGATAAAAAGAATCAGCATGGAAAAATAGGTGTTCGTATATCCAATAGTTGCTCGGTGGTCATTAGTAATAAAAATCGAGTAAAGAGGATTCGCTGCTTGAAATGATTTAGGTGAAACGAGGTTCAGACCTGAGACTTACCTGTTATAAGCGCATATCACAAGACCTAAATGTCCTGGGGCTGTAACCTTGGTGAGTTATATAACACGGATGAAATAAATAACCATAGCTTTCTGTTTCTCAACAATTCTATAGTAGAACCAGTCCGTGGTGTTAGTTACAAAGTATGAAAATTGTTAACTACAATAAGTGATAAGAGACTCATTACTAGGCTAGTCACATCAGCTGTTAAATTTTACATTACGAATGCTAGTATGAGACGACTAGCGGAAGTGAATAGTAAAAACAATAAACACTAAAGAGACAATATAAAGAAAGAATATTAGAAAATAATAAAATACTATGAAAATTGATAAACTACTTACATTCATCATCATAAGGAAGTTCATGTTCACTACTAAGTCCCATTGGAAGCGAGCCTTCACGATCCCTTGACTCATTACTATAGTCATCTGCAAAATTCTTGAACACGTTTTGATCAAGATCTATGTTATGACCCTTTTTGTCTAGTCCACGACGACCACGGCTTTCCATTTGTGATAAGTTATCATCTCCACCAGAACTATTACGAAAACTACGGCTATGAACTGATTCACTGGAAGTATCATCTGGTGTTTTTGAAAGACCATGAGATGACTTAGATCCTGTATCCGGTGACACACATTCAGGATTTAATTGAGAATCACCATAGTAAGACTTCAAACTGCCTTTCAAACCATAACGGCCAGAAGGTTTTGAAGTCTTTTGCTTTCCTCTACGTTTCATATCCTCGGGTAAAGTGGACACATTCAAGTCGTCTGACTTAACTGCTCAGAAGAAATTAAGATCTTTACCGAGTCACTTTTGAGCTAAAATATAGGTAAAAATAATAATAGTGGTATTAGTGACATAAATATTCAGGATTAACAAAAACAGGTTACGAAACCGTCAAAGTCGGACTTCTTGGTAGAGCTTACCGGTAATGATGGACACGAAGCTCGACTTCTTCTTGCAAAAATATGGACAATCCAAAGCCAAGCTACGTAAGACTTTCACATCATGAGACATTCATAAAAACGAAATACAAAAAGACTTTGATGGTATAGGTTTAGTTACCCTTAAAAATAAATATTTAGCATACTTGAATCAATCAGTTTAAGTCCACATGCACGTAACCACACCATTTCACAGGAAGCAGAAACTGATGTTTGATTGCTAAGAAAAAACTTTTGAAAAAATATGAATAATTTTATCAGATCACAAAATATTGCTTGATGTTCTTACACCATCTTGGAATACTAAACTTGGAAATAGTATAGTTTTAACGAGAATGAAAGGTGAGTCGGCCAAACTGTATCAATCAAATCCTAGGAAAATTAAATAACTCTCAGGATGTACCCTTGATTATTGAAAATCTGCAACACAAAACATCACTCCAAATCCTGTTATGATGTAGGTCAATATGAAAACTACAATACAGAGGATTACGAATGTTTAATCATTAGTCCTGCTTGAAAACCAATAGCATGCTGTGAAAACGTTGTGATAAGGTATATAGTTTTGTTTAAGAGGGAAGATTAGCTAGGTGCTGAGAGATGTACTGATTGAGACAAGGAATGTCTTCAGTACCACGAACCCCATTCCCATTTATTGTAATAAGTAATACTGGGTAGAGTACAGTTAGGTTGAAGTTGCTGTAGGTTCAACAAGACGAAACATAACACACACAAAAGCATTTCATGTAACTAACACAAGGCTATTACTTATCATAAGTTATCAGCTAGTTATAAATTAAGGTTTACAGATCTAATGAGATACACCTCGGAATGAGAAGCACAATTATATCAACACTCGAAGATGAGAATTTAACTTTTTAGGCCTAATCGTTTACTTTTATTGTTTAGTATAAATTCATTGTTCCACTGGACGGATGTTCCCTAATTATAACTGATAAACGACCTATGCAATATACTACTACCAAAATACTTCATTTCTATTTGACTGATCGAGACTGTTAGGTGATATAGTCCACTAAGCGAATCGAAAACCTAACGCAACAAGAGATCCATGATAGTAGCCCTCGTCATTTCCAATAACGAAAACCTAGCCATTAATAGTCTGGAAGATATCAGGCATACAAAGTCTGCTGAAATTCCGACTGATGGTGCAATGTGAGATACGAGAGTATCTTATGAGAATTTCGATGCCGCTCAATGTTTTTCAGTAGCTGATCTAGTAGTGAGTGTTCATTAGAAACGTACTGAGTAACAACAACGAAGAATACTCGTAGTTAGGATCTGTTTACTGGTAACATCAGATAACTCCTCTCAAAAATCTTAGGATTAAGATAGAAGCCATGAGATCATTGTTTCAGACAACAATACACAGTTCAAATAAACTATAAATAAACTATTACACGGTTAGATGTGTCTGTTTCCTACTGTATCAATCCTATTCGAGTGGATGGGTAGAAATTCTGGTGGTTAATTTTAAGCGAAGCCGGAATGGTGACAAATAGTTATATTTTGACTAAAAACAGCTTTGGACCGATTGTCCCGATGTAGTTTCACATGCAGAATGCCTCGTGACTCGGAATCAGTGTATAGAATTGGACCCTCAAGTCCTACCAAAACAGGTCTCTATTAATCCCATTTACTATACTTACACCGCGATAAGAAATATAAACTATAGACTATCAACATTATCTGTTGGTATCAGATAGTCGGCTAACAATGGTGGAAGGTGTGTGAGATGGGTGAGGTCCAGGTAGAGGAACATATGTAAACAAAACAAAGAAAACCAATGTCAAACCCGACATACAAACGGAGTGATTCCTGATCAGCCTGCCAACTGTCCTTTATTTTGAGTCAAACACTAATCCCACAGTCAAACAGAAAACAGATCTCATCACGGAGATAGACGGACAGGAAACTCCGTCTAGTAAAAATTGCATATCAGCTAATGAAATCAAGATACGAATAACTCAAGAATGGAAAATGTTAAGAAACCCAACATTACTCCTGGTGGTTATTAACAATAAAATCTAGATCCGCTGGAATCATATTCTTTAAAACACTTTTGGACCAAATAAACTATACAATCAATAAATTGATAAAACTGCCGGATATACTTGTCAGTCGGTCAACTACAACGTAGGAGCAGACACATATATGCATTGGCCATCAAATGCCCTGGTACAGCCGAAGTTGGAGGGAGTCAACTCTCCCTCTCCTAATCCTCTCACATGACCACGTGTATACAGCCACTCCAACGAAAGTACTACTCACTGCCTTCTGGCGCCAGGAGTGTTGTTTACGAAATTGGGAGGACAAAAAGCGAATGTACGGCGCTATAAACGGGTTTGCGGACATGGAAAGTTCACCTAGGGGAGTTGGAAAACCCTCATTCCAAACCAATGGTGTACATGGGCTCCTACAACCTGAAGGAACAAATGGAATATGAACTAATTGTCGGTCACCTGTTACCATGGGACTACCTCTCCTGACGTTGCTCCATCACCTCGTGGATCAGACCTTTGGATCGGAGGCTCCGAGTGTTGCGTCCTAAGAAAACTACCTGCTTCGGTTTAGGCATCCGGGCAGTATCACAGCCCACATAAAAATCAAGTGACTTGTGTGGCTCATACGTATTCGATAGCCCTTAGTACCAATATTTGTGTTCAAATAATAACGATAATAATAATACATATATGCATCGGTCCAAGTCGCCAAACATCACAAAAAGATCAACACCAAAGTTACAGAAGCAGTTACTTCAATGGTAGTAATATATAAAAATGATTTTGTATAAAGATATAATACAGGAAGAGGGAATTAGTTCGTAGAAAGAAAGATATAAAGTAATTTTAATCTCAAGGTTTAAGGGAAGATAAAGAGTGTATACACCTGAGCCATTGTGAATGATTCTGAGCCATGTCACCCAGTCTTTAACCATTGGTTACGATAGTCATGCGGACCCCAACCAAGTAGTCTGCATCTACTAACATGGCTCAGACTAAAAGTTAATGACTTCAAGGAATGATGTCACGTTTTGGCTTGGCCGCCCCTAACTTCCAAGCATTCCCAATACTAGTCAGCATTGGGCGTCGTGGTAATCGGTGTTCAGGCGTATGCAACACGTGACCCAACCATATCAATCGATGAAGATTAATGACCTCATCAACTGATTTACTATCGTTTTCTAATAAACTGTCTAAATTCACTATTACTTACCCGGTAATCCCAGCTGATACAACCAATATTTCTAAAACATCTGTGGTCAAATACTAGTAGTGTATGAGTATCTACTCTTAATGGTCACGTTTCGCAGCCGTAAAGTAGAACAAAACGAATTTCTGTGCAGTATACTCATCCCTTAATTGATAGACGGATATCTCGTCTTCGCCATACGTGACATAAGTCTAAAAAAGCCAAACGAGCTTTCTGAATCTGGGCAGAGATGTCGTCAGACACCAACCCATTAGGGCTGATCAGACTCTCAAGATAAGTGAAGTTGTTGACGCAGGTCAGTCCTGAAGCATTAAATTGCATTTAGAGAGGACGGAACGTGTCCAAAACATCCTGGCATCGTTGTTCAGTGCTACCAAAAGACACTGCATTTTATCAGCGTTTTCACCAGTCAGGACTATGTCATTTGCGTATTCCAACTTGATAAGTGGACCCCATGGAGAGAGATCAATTACTGAAAACTCGGTCGACGTGAACGTTATTTTCATCAGTGGGTCTATGATGAAATTACACAAAAATAGATAGTGGACAGCCTTGATGAACACTAATTGAGGTTGCAAAATCAGATGACAGTCCGCCATAAGCTCCAACTCGACTGGTAGTGTTCGAGTAAAGAGTCTTCAAAAGGTTCATGTACTTCTGAGGCACACTTCTCAATGACAGACACTGCCACAGGACTTCTTAGTCTACTGAGTTAAATGCTGTTTTGAAGTCAAGAAAAACTCAGTGGCCGAGTGACCAAGTCAAATTTATGTACCCAGATTTGAGCGATGTATATCTGTAACGACCAGTGACACTATCCAGTTGCCAGGACTAAACTAATTCCAAATATTATGATAGATATCCAAGTGTAGAGTACGTAGTTATTGATTTCGACGAACAGTATGTATGTTCACATTTTTCTACATGGTTTTATTAACAGTAAATTGATGGTACAATCTAGATATACGAATAGTCCCAGTGCAGCTATGACCACACCTCAGTAATTTCAAACACCTAGAGATAATTCACTGTTCCCCATAAATAAATTTTAACATACAATGCTCATTGGTTAAAGCTTTTAAAGAAACACTCACTCAATACATAGAAATCAAGACCCTGATGAACGAGTAGCCAAGTAAACTACCCAATTATCCGACGTTTAAAAAACACATTTCAGAAATAAATACCCCCTGAAATCTCAGTATTACGGAGAATAAAACCAGCCGAAAGTTTATCAGTCAAAGTTGCCTGATACTTGACAGCATCTAGTTATTCACATTTCGGACAACTGGTTATTATCAGGTTCAAGAGATCCCATTCAATTTGCTTTTTAAGATTCAGGACTTTAACTATTTAGAGAACAATATTAGAGGTTACTGTATTGAACCTCTGGTAAATACTGACTTAATAACACATTGTCCAAGGATGGTGGGGTGAAGAATAACGACCTAGACTCAAAACTGCACACTCATCCTACCAAACGCTCTTCAACTACTTAATGATGAGCTTTATACTAGACACAATGTGTAAAAATGAACTAGACTCTTATCAGATATGAATAGTCACTCTGAAAATCATCGACGAATATTAGCATTAGAATCTAGCAAAATGGTGCACATGGTAATAAAATCAACTACCAAATACGTTTTACTTATTTGGGAGAAATAATATACAGAATTCTGAATGATTAAGCTGCTTTTAATCGTTTTCATATTATATGGCTGAACTTAGTTAGAATGTCATTCACACTTGGTGAGTTGAAACAGAACAAAAAATACTTACTCGCTAGTATTACAAGGACGATGTAGATAACAAAACTCGTGTGATCTCCTTACTAATGAGTAGAAAAACCGACCCCCAAAACATACGACAAAAACGAAAGCGCGACCGTATTGAGCGCCAAAGATTCACGACGGATAGTTCAAACAGTCTCGGAAATAATTACATCTCTCAAGATGGGCAAAACTATGGCTATATGAAATCCATGTTCAGATATTTCTCAGTCCCGCCTCATTTTTCAAAAAACAGATTTTTAGAACTGAAAACCGCTTTTTGGTAAATGCAGTTTCAAGTTTTGTAAATCTTAACCTAAATTGTTGGTTTAATATCACTTCGGTTTCGGTTCTGAAAGGACAGGAGTCTGTGTGACCTGTGTTGGTCATGGCGATGAGGGTTCTCAGTCGATTCTGTGTGGACAGTTAACATGAACTTGTTTTGTAACCAGTTTTTTGTTATTATTCGCATTTTCTATTGAGGGGTTTTTATTGACTGGTACTATATCGAGCCCTCATTGGCTATTCTAGTTTCTGAGAGGACAATTGTTTTTTTTTCTCAAGCCATGTTTGACCTTATTGATTATCCACTTATTAACCCTGACTTTTTATATTATGTGTGTTAATTTCTCACCCTACTTATTACATGTCTGTTGTTTTTGTCTGACTATAAATAACGAGTCACGTTTAAATAAATCGAATTGGTCCACTTACCTTCTCCACCGAGCGTCACTTTATCTGGTGTCGCTTCGCTATCATAGAAATAATTTGGAGTCATAATTCTTATAGTAAGAACTTATGTTCTCTAATGCAACTAATGTTCATTCATCACATTCGTCCTCAACATTAGTCGTTTTCCCTTTTTTCAATGCCAATCTAAACAGAACTTCAGCCGTTTTTTGTTCGTTGATCCTTTCTTTAACGTCAATTCATTCATAAAATATTAGATAACGCATTATAAGCCGATTAGTAACGAATATGTACATGTTATCTATTTGTATGACTGCATATAGTATCATCTTTCTGCTCATGAGTATTACCTGATTGCTGCAATTATTAATTTACTTCCATCTCCCTGTATGTCGGCTCATAGATTTTAGGGCTAGTCTCTTGAAAATAATTTTTTAATCGTCATATCCA